TGTACTAAAAATCACACAAGATTACATGGTTTACCTGTCGTGTTGCCCCATGGAAAATTCCCCTTCATTACTTCAGGTACAGAAGCTTGCAAATGGGAAACTTCTTTTTTCGCTATCTCTTCATTGAACTTCTCTATTAACGAAGAAAGCTTTGTCTTGTTCGAAGAAATCTTTTTGCGGAGGTGTGCACGCTGTTTGGACGAGTCTGGATAAAAAAAGGGAAAGCCAGAATAACATGCAGCTACCTCAGGCATACTTTACTCAAAGACAGCGAACACCAAAGAATTGAATGTGACGATCAAACAAATGACAAAACACAGTTCAGTAAAGGTGATTTTCTCTGCAACAAGAAACAACAACAAAAAAAAGCAAGGTGTATGTTTTATGTAACAACTACCTACCAGTCTGCTCATTTAATGAGTGGTCTGTTCAATGGCAGAAACCAGCATTTCGATATCATCTTGTATCCGCTGCATACTATTACCATTTCCTTGCAAAGCTTCCACTTCTAAAGGGAAATACAACGTTGTACACGTAGTATTTAGAAATGCTAAATTAAGAGTGGTTGATTTATTTATTTCTGTTTAGTACAACCATTGCAACCATAGGGATATGTGCCACATAGTATTGGTCAATGCTATTGATGCCAGAGACACAAGACTAAAAGTACATAGAGAGGATAGCAAGCAAGCATTTACTTTGTACCTAAAATATTATAATCTAAATTGATATGTTTTAAAGTGGATTTCTTATTTACGGTGTGCATGATTGAGAACAGTATTCTTCCAGTCATCTGACTTAAAGTCATCCAGGGATACATTATACGTATTGAGGACATCATCGAATTCTCTAAGAGATTCTGCTTTCATCTTTACAGCCTACAGGAATTAAAGGATCAAAAACTACAGAAGTAAAAACAAAAGTAGGTTTTAAGTGAACCAGAAAGCATCCAGGATAGCAGAGGCTGAAATGGACAACATGCATTTAAGATACTGTGTCTTCTTTTTTACCTCATAACATGAAAAAAGAGATCATTAAACCTAGCCATTTTACTTATACAGAGCACAAGAAAGAACAAACAGATGCTCGAAAAAGGATGCAACGGAAATTTATACTTACACAAATACTAATGAGTATCATTGGTTAAAATAATTTTCACTGTTTAGTCTTGCTATTAATATCATATATACTGAGCCGAGTGTATCGTCTTGAAAGACTCTGTACCATCCCATTTATTTTTCTCCAGTTCCACATGAGAGCATGCTCAGTAATTAACTCCTCACGATCTAAAAGACATGGATAAATTACATTTTAGTTGTATGTTAGTATCAACAGATGCTCATTTTGCTCTAAAAACTGTTATCCTTTACAGTTTCTTCTAAAGACCAAGCAAGTTAAGTTTCCTTCTTGAGATTTTTCACACCATGTGATATTGTTTCTTTCATAATGAATCATCATATATAAGTTTATATTGAAAAAGGAACAATTATCTGGGCAAATCAAATGGGCAACAAACATGCAGTTAAAAGGGTCTGTTAGAGTGCTCGCCTACGTTTTTACTAGCCATATATGATACTCCATTGTAACTCGGCTGTGCTTCATTGACTATTTTGCTAACAAAAAACTTGGGCTGATAGCCTAATACTGTAATTCATATCTTTCAGGTGCAAATGTGTGCCAAAGGAGTTTCTCAAAATTATGGTCAGTATGTGTAACATGTTTATTGTGACTCACTCTCAGGAAGCATGTATTTAGTAGTGTTTCCACAACGAGACATGTAGGAATTGATTTGCTCCACTTCTTCACCAGTAGAGCAAGCACTTCCTTCTTGTAAACGACCCCCCCATATTACCTGGTAGAAAAATATTATTGGAATTAGAAGCATATATCATTGATAAAAGTTTTGCAGTAATTAGGTATTTTATAGACACTAGATCTTTATAAATTAATGCATGCTTGTTTATATTCTATACTTTTTTAAATTTATACTTGTATTTTTAAATTTATATCTTGTATTTTTAATTTTTATCTTGTATTTTTAAATTATCAAGATATCTCGTATTTTTAAATTACTATATTTTTAGTCCAGGGGCCCCTCTGAATATCAGCCTTGTTGCTGAATGGGCCACCCTGGCAAAATAAAGTTTACCTTTACCTTACGTTTTACCTTTCGTACTGATAAGAAACATCAACACTTACTAACAAACAAAATTGCAGTCGAACAATAAACCTGCAGTGTACCTGGCATGTCCAATTGTGTGCCTTAGCATGCATCACAGAGAGAGCTGGTTTCATTCCAGAACCTTCAACACCACCAGCCTTTTTAGCCCACCTCCAGTATTTACAAACAATATCCTCCCAGAAATATGTGACTCCAGCTGGTATCATTTTCTTTACATGGATATAGTTGGCATAACCATATAGTTCCCCCTGGTACATGTTTACGGCCCATTGTGCCAAGCCATGCCGACAGCCTGCAATCTCAAGGCCTGTCTCATCCAGTTTGGCTGTCTTTCTGCCCTTGTTGGAAGCAGCCCGCCAGTGGGATTCACCACACATATTGTCTTTTTCCTAGTTGCAATATATAAAAATAATGAAAATGTAATTGTCTCCAAATGTTGGAATTGGATACCTGTAATTGGACACCTATGCTATTCTTGTCAATTATGGCTCTCTCAGTTTGTAAAGTTTCACTACTGTTTTTAAAACTACGGTAACATACAACTGATGCTTTCACTCAAAGGAAGTTCTCAAAAACTCCTTAACCTCTAAATTTGTTATGGACACGATTAATAAGTAATTGGAGCAACTAGAGTACAATTCAGAGTGTAACCTTGCTTGTTATTTTAAATCAGACTCTTGCTGCATGGTCATCTGATTTTGAAATTACTTACCCAATTACTTCCTGAATTGTACTGCACTCGGTCCAATTACTATTACTTATAGTATGACTGAGAAAAAAATGCACACAAACCTTAGATTTGGACTGTTTTGCATAAACCTTCTTCATGTGACTGTCAACATCCCCCTTGTTGGCAATGAAAACATCTTCATAATACGACTGCCTTCTTTGTCTGTAGAAAAAGAACTAAATAAAATTATTATAGGAAAAAATATACCATTTTAACAAAAAACAGCAATTCCTATTTTCCATAACACTTATTTTTGTTAGACCTGAACCACGGAAAGAGTGTCTAATCATATCTTATTAAGTTTAGGTGTACGGGACAAAGAAGTGGTTATTAGACCTTTCACACATCACAATGACATGGACCAAAGCAAAACAAAAGTAATGTTACAATCAGCATTTACATGTCAACATGAAGCTCAACTGAAAATTAACATTGCAACATTCAATATGTTTATCAAGCTTTAATGAAATAGAGCATACCCTCCAGATGAACAGTAACGGTACAACTTCATGTTTCCATCAACATGGCAGGAGTGCTGAAAGATAGAACATGTCGGGCATTTCATCCAGTTGTGACCTTGGAGATGATCTACTTCAAACTGGCAGAACTTCCATTCTTTAAATGATCTACTAAAGGTGGAATGATTGATGGTTGGTGCCTGCAAAAAATATATATAATAACAGACATTATTTAAATGATGTCTACCTATGTAGAGCAGTAGTGTGAAATAAGAGAAATAATAATAACACATCATAGTGAGGGCAGGTGCAAATGTAAATATTTATGTAACATCACATTAAGTGAAATGTATTCAACCTAAAAAAGCCCATCACCCTTTTATTCTTAGCTCAACATGTGAATAAACCATAATAGCAGCTCTTAGTTGCCTCACATTTATTTACATCTGCAACACAAGATATTGAAATTTTTAAAGAGAAACAAGGTGTTGACAAATCTTAAGAATTAAAGGGTTGGGGATGGCCTGGCAAGAGGTGAAGGTGAAGGTAAAGACAGCAATGAACTCAGCTGAGCAGGTAGCCACATAGGTGATTCTGTCCTGAATTTGAAGACTACGCATTCCTACAAGTTTAAAACCTAATTAAACCTCTCAATAACTATTTTGGCCAATTTTAACAAAGCATTTATATCAAATAATTTAATAAAGTGCAACTAATGTAACCTTTAAAATGCATTGTATTGCATTGTGTAGTTCCAGAAAATATCCATACTCCCCCCCCACTGAAGGGATTGAAAATTCCTGTTGGTGGGGTACTCAAAGGCCAAAAAATTTAAGGAAGTGTATGAAGATTAATTGGAATTTCCAGAGGGAAAAGGGTCTTAGGAAAATCCCTTCTTAGGGGGGGGACCACACATTGTCATTGAAATGTTAGAATCCAAAAAGTGGCGACAAGTAAGATTGTGTGAAAATTACTACACTGGTCATAAAATAAAAAATACAGGTATGTATACATGTAATTACAACTAGATGCAAAATCATACCCTTCCTTTCATCACTGATACATCCTCCAGTGCCCGAATAAATGAGCTTTCAGATGTCCCAGGCATTCTTTTAGAATAGAATCCCACAATTTGAACAATTGCTGGTCAAATACATAACTGGTGTCAGTGGGACTCCCAGGCCAATACCCTGCTTGTACAACATCACTCATCAGGGACCAAGATGGGATTATACTCTTGTAGTTGGAACACTGAATTATTGTATTGTTTAAATCAAATCATCCTGAAAATTAAAAATAAGACTTCGTGATGACTGCAATAATATTCTTAAAAGGACTTCCCATAAGTACAATAAAGGTTAAACTAATTGATAATTATAATCATTAGTTTCTTATTGCATTGCAGTATTAATGACCTAACTACAATAAGTAACATAATCCTCAGTTTTTGTTGGCTTAGGATAAAATAAACGATATATAACCAGCAGGCATCTACTGATAATTTAAATACAAAGCAAGCCATATTACTGTGCATGTATTTTATTTAACCCATACAACACACATATACTCATAATAGGTAAAATTATATCAGAAAAGTTTAAAGCAGGAAAACATCATCTATATATTTACCTTTTTCATTAACTATTATTAAGAACCCAGGAGATGGAAGTTGTTTTATGAATCCAGTCTCTTTACAACTTGAACAATGATCTGGAATATTGGGGACTGGAAAGGACTAAGCTGATGAGAGAAAAGAAACAAAATTACAATCAAAAAGGTCTGTCATTTGCGATGTTGTAACACAAAGTAAAACTAAGACATAATCCATGCAAATGTACATCTCACCACATTACTGTGCATAAACTTTTATTTCTCAAAGCTCCATCAACTACATTTACAATCAACATATATATACCTATTATTTGTGTGCAATCTTCTTCATCAACTCCTACAGTTGGAGGGATGGCATGAAAGTACCCATTCACATATGCGTCCCTGTCATGAAAAGGCAAACAGTTGTGCACTTTTTCATCACATGATGAGCACATAAACTGAATTGGGCACTCAATACACCGTATACCGACTTTCCCTTCCAAGCAAATGCTGCAACAATCTGGGGATGGAAGGCCCTCACAGGTAAGGACAGCCTCTATTAATTGCTTCCTGGCACTGTCCCAGCTGGAAGTCAAACTAGTCATCCGTGTCTCCCAATTTCTTGAGGTACTTGGAAAAGTGGCAAGGACCTCCTCACATCTTACTATAGTGGTTTCAAGGTCATCTTCTATTAAACAAAAAATAATTTTTAGCTACTAGAGTTTATGAGTTTTAGAGTTTATGAAGCAAAATTACTTGCAAAATTAATTGCCATTTATTTCCATGTACTAAATCATTTTGGAAAAATGGGCCAATTGATTACACCAACTTTATTTCTTACAATCATAATACTATAACAGTACACTAACTATAACAATCTAGCATTGCAAATGGGGAGAGGATTAACTAAGTAATTTTAAATAAGAATTTCAAAAAGGAATTACAACACATGGCAAGATCATGTATTTTCAACTATTAGCTTAAACTCTGTTTAATATGATTGATAAAATGCCAGACAAATTCTGTAGGTGTTTGGATTAAAAACAACTTTGCGATGTACAAAACTTACCCTCGACACTAGATGTTGATGGCATCTCATGTCCTACATCATCTACTTCTCCCAATAAACTCTGATCGATATCTTGTTTGGGTAAAATAATAATGGTAGCGTTAGTCATTACTCTCCAAAGAGTAAGTTTCAATATTTTGGAATAGAATACGTTAAAAAATGGTTTATACAACTCTAACTTGACCAAGACAAAGGGGTTTATAAGATAAATAACCACATTTTTTACCATCATTTGAGCTGGTGCATGGAACATGCTCATCTTGAAAACGTGGCTTGTATGGGTAGTGACTTTTACGTCTCCCCGTCAAAGGATCCCTGAAAAAATTGAAGCGCGATTTCCTCTTAGGCTTCTTCATCTTCTGCAGAAGATCGTGGCATTCATCTAATGCCTCCTGAAGCGAATGTTTGGAATCCTTTGCTCCCTTTTTGCGCGAATTCGCCGCCATTTTGTTTCAAACATGTTCTTCTTTATAGTCTGCGTTCCACTTGGCCAGCAGCTTATTTGGCACATTATATTATCGATTATGGTTAATTCAAGATGTTTTGACAATTACCTCTATGCGTCGATTCTAGGGGGATACTGTGTTGTTTTGGTGGCTGGAATCTAATGCTGACCTTCATGTTGACATTAGCTCTTAAGTTGTTTCCCGCTGACCACTCGTATTTCGGTATTTTCTTATCCAGTTGCTCGCAACCGAGTTATCTATTCTGAGGCAGCGATCGCGAGCAGAGGGGCATTTTGTTGCGCATGCGCCAAGAAAATTTGTTCGGCGCGTTCGGCGCCATTTTGATATTTTCAGCGCGCTTTTGCGGGTTTTCAACTGAGCGATCGACACCTTTCTGTGATATTTTTTGGAGAGGGATGGAAGAGTATGACAAGTTTACTACCATTTCTAACTCTGTGGATACTTGTGGAGTTTGCTGGCTCTTCGGATGAGGATATTTTAATGATCAAAGTGCGAACAAAACGCGAAAAAAAGTCGAAAACTTGAAGTTTGAGATTTGATTTGCTGACGATCAAGATGTGCACATGAGACTACAAACCTTGAAGGTTAGTCTTAAGATGTTGATGTCTTACTTCTATAAATCACGAAGTGATGTGTGGAGGCGATCGTGAGATATTCGTTACGATAATAGAAGGTAGTTTACAATTGGATCTTATTTTACTTCAACTTTGAAATAAAATTACGTTAAGTTCGAGGTGGCCCCAAGCTTCAAATCACTTCAAATAACATCTTATCTTCTTTCTCTTTGTTGTCCCATTGGACACAAGGCTTAAAAAAATGTTCCAGCTTCAGGATTGAGTTGCTCTTTCTATAACCTTCGGCGAATTCGTTTTTGGGAGGTTGAGGTGGATTTTCAAAGTCATGGCTCACAACTGTCTTTGGCCATTTTGCTCTCCAAGTCTGTTGTACTTGGTACGTAGGCATGCGTCTTAACAACGTTTATAGTCTTGCCTCGATCATCTGCGGTTTTATCTAATTTTTTTTTGCTGTGTTTTGGTGAGAATTTTTCTGATTGCCCTTTTGGGCTTGAAGGGCTAACTAGAGGATAAACTTCGGTAGAACTTGTTTTATCACATGGCCCCCAAATCTCTCACCACTGTCAGTTCATTGTTTATTTATTTAGCCTTCGGTCTAACCAGTTCATTTACCTCAAAAAATCCGTGGGCTTTGTCTCATGAGTTTAAACTGGTGCCGTTTTCTTCATGTTCATGTGTTATTCGAAACGGATGGCGTCAGCTTCATTCTGTCTTGTTTATTTCAGTAGAATACTTCTGCCATACGAAATGAATTTTGAGTCGAAGTGTACTATAAAACTCGCAGATTAAAATTATCTAACTTTCTCTGGTTCTTAAAACATGAGGTGAGCGATACAATAAATGAATAATTACTCAAGGGGCTGGAACTCTCTTTCTTTAGAATGTGAACTACAGTATTTCTGTCATATTTGAAAACGAATTTCGGGTTAAAATGTCTTCAAACCAGTTTGACTTGTATTTCTCTTTGCCAGATAAGTCTTGATCCTTCAATTTTTATTTCTTAATTGAGACTGATGATTGGAATTAACTATTGTGTTCTCTGCTGTTTAGGGAGATGTGAAGTGACCCCACTACATATGGTCAGTACTATTGACAGAAAGGATAGGTGTGACATTTGCTGTGGCAAGCTGGCATTCAAGAGAATGTCATTAGTACCAGAAGCTTACTACTGGTATAAATTATCAATCTTTTGTTCTCTCCACACAACTTGCCTCAACTAGCTTATGCTATATGCAACTTGTGTCTATACCTTTTTTTGCAACTATAAAATTACCAATAAAGTTTTTTGAAAGTTTTGTCCAAATTTCATGGGAAAACAATATGAGGAGTGATCAGGTGAAATATTGTCCTGTTCCATAACAGTGTTTGAGCTTCCAGGCAGAGCTAAAAAATTTCTTAAGCCACTGATTTATGATTTTCTGCCTTAAAATTAGCACAGCCAAACCCCTGGCTTGAAAACTATTAATTTCTGCAAATAGGCATCCAAGCTGATGCCCATTACTGCAGAATATGCAATATCAAAGTCCCCTTTTGACTTAGGTCTCATTTCTCTAAAATCTGATAGATGTAGAGCATCAATTTTCATAAAGAGATCAACAAACCTCTTCACATTAGTTTAATCTGACCTCACTAAGTCTTATTCCTGAAAAGAAAAGGCTTTTTTTTTTTACCCTCACTGTTAAATATCAGCCTTACTGGTTCTTTGTTGTTTAGCATGTGTAAGAGTCTTTTCAGACCATCAAATTGTCACACAACTCTTGTAATTTAATAGGTTGGAGAATAAGGTTGCAAAGAGTGTATATGATTTTTTTGTGCAGTTGAAATGATAAATGATAGTGATTTTCACTGGGTAATAATTGATTTAACTATTCATCTTACAACTGGAAGCCCAAAGTAGTACTTGTTTTCTTTCACAATTTCCCCACATCATCGATCATATCTGATGATATTTCCGAGACTAATGATTGAAAAGACTTTATCTTACTCTGATAAAATCCATAATTATTCCTCCATTTCTAACCAGATGGAGCTACCATATCTCTAGCATTAGCATTGTCTTACTTTTCTTTACTCGACATTGACCTTTTTTATTTTGGTAATCGGCCCTGCCGGTTGTGATTCATGTCAAAAAAAAACTTTTGAAACAAAACATAAACCTCTGTAAACTTTACATTTTTGCCAAAATTGGAGGTACACTGCACTAGCAGTACAGTTGAAGCTCTAAAAAACGCTTACAGAAAGGCGAGTACTTCAAATGATCACCTATAACTTGAGATAGCAATGACACGATAAAAGTATACTATCCAATTCTTTTGTACTCTTCGACAGGCCAATCGCATCCTTCAAAAATAACATCATCTTCATCGATCGCCCAGACAATCACGAGACAAGACTCGAACAATCTTTTGCATTCTGAAAATAACTTCCTTCCACACATCACACAATAATTTCAAGGATTTGCCGCTTCCATCTACGTTACAGAAGAAAAAAATGAGAAGAAAGGTTGTCTCAAATACTCGAACCATTGTTTTTCCGACGTATTTTACTGCTTCTTTTCTTTCGTGATTCTCGAAAGGGAAACCGACGCAGGCGCATACCAGCGGTTTCTCGTATCAAACTAAAATTTACCGGACATGCGCAACAAAATGCCCCTCTGCTGATCAAGTGACTGCATTGTGACTACATCGTGAGACAAACGAAAAAACTTACCTTTTATTGTTAATCACTACGATGAATAACCACAACCTTTTTTACGAAAGGAATTAATCGTTACAATTTTCTTCTAACAATAATAACCGTCTATTCATCACTTCACGGGTTTATTTAGAACCACCATCATCACCAGTTGGCTTGTTAGCTCAGTTGGTAGAGCGCTGCACCGGTATCGCAGAGGTCATGGGTTCAAATCCCGTACAGGCCTGAATTTTTTTCAGGCCTTATTTTCACTTCTGCCTAAGTAGTACACATCACTGCGAGGATCACTTTCATTCACGTCAAATAATTTTCTTCTAATTTTCTCGTAACCTCTTCCTTTCACTTTTTACAACGTTTCAAACATTCTCTGTTATCTTACTATCACAAAATTACTACCTTTCTAGATTGTATTGAAGAAATGTAAAATGGTTTACATAGCCTGATGTAAACACGCGGGAGGTTGGGAGAACACAAGGTAAGCGTAAGAAACCACGACGCGAAGCGGAGTGGTTTCCAGCTTACGTCAGCTGTATTTTCATTGAGATATGGAGCACTTGGGAAGTTTGGAGAACACTCAAGAAGCTAGAGTTGCTCTCGGCTACACCTTGAGCAACTCTTACGCATCTTTCGTGCTCTCCAAACTTCCCGTATGCTTCATATCTCAATGAACGCACGCTGACCGTGACGTATGAACCAATTGTTAATTAATACATTATTACGTTATCCATGAGCCAAAAGCAAGGACAAACAAAAACTTTTAGAGTGTGTCATCATTATTTCGACTGTTTTGACTCTCTATGATGTCCTATTGTACAATATTGCTGTCTTTGAAAAACTTGCTCGTGCTCATAAACACCTTATTGCACTAAGACTTATATTATTATCTATACTAATGACCCTTGGGAATGGTGGAGGAAGATAACAAAAGTTTGTAAATCACTTAAGTCAGAGGCAAGTGTTTCAATTTACAAAACTTTCTGGTGTTCTCCTAACATCCCAAGTGGGTTATTACAAGGTTACCTGATAGAGAGTGCAGTCTATTGCCTTTATTAAATAAACGTTTAACAGAGCATAGTATGGTTTATCAGTGCATTAAATGATTTGTTTTTGACCAGTCTAGTAGTATCACAGATTTTATATCTAGCCAAAGATTGATAATGGTTTTTAAACCATTTTAAAAAATGTGAATTGATATTACCCTTTGCAGTTTAATAAAATCACCATTGTCACCTGATAAAAATGTCTGAGACAGTGGAAACTGCAGTTGAATTCAGTGAAGGGAAAGATATCCCACCTGAGCTTAGTATCTGTGTACCAGAAGACATCCATGTGGGTCTAAAGGATGTGAATCTGCCAGTCGACATTTTATTAGTAACAGTCAAGAATTGTGAGTATTTGGCTTGTTACATGTTTTTAAAAGACCCATTTGGATGCTGTTTCGATCGACTTGGACATGTTTTATTCGGAGAGATTGGTGAGGGTCATGGAAAGAAAATGAAAGTTGCTTTGATGAGATACACCAGAGGTTCCGTCAATCCAGAATGTTCCTTGTCCACTGTCAAAGATGCTGTCCTTCTTTTGAGGGCTAAGGTGGTAATTTATGTAGGGACCTGCATTGGTCTCAAACCTGAAGAAACCAAGTTAGGAGATGTTGTTATCTCTGCCAAACTAGCAACACATGGATCCAATGTAATTATAAGTGGTGGCAATGAATCTACAGATGAAAGACATCATATGAGCAAACATTTTCTTGATGTGATCAGGGGTGCAATAGAGGGGTGGAAGGCCCCGCTGAGAGACCCTGGAGCTCGAGATGTAAAAGTGCATTGTGATGTTCAATTCTTGAGTGATCTAGGGCTGACTAGCGCTAAATGGCAACATGGCAAGCTAATCAAGTCCTATCCAAAGGCAACTGCCATTGAAATGGAAGGGGAAGGTAAGTTTTTCAGTCTCTAACCAATCATATTGCATTCTGTACTCAATGTATCATCCTAGGAAGATGGGCAATGTTTAAAAGGAGTGTGTTTACATGTGTTCTTTTATTATTTTGCTTTTGTAACACAGTGATCTTATAGAAAAACATCTAACATTACTAACGTTAACTACCATATAATTATGGTTGTATTGTTGTTATGGGCAGTTTGTCCAATTTGGACACTACAGTACTGCTTGTGTATACGTTAACCAAAAAATGCATATTAAATGCACCAAAAATCACATACAAGTGCGATTTAAAAAAATGTGCACGTCAAAGTATCACATGTGCGCACACAAGCTTTTTACATCTGCCCATTTAGTATAAAGGAGGTAGACCTTTTGTTTTTCTGTTGATGGTGGTGTATCATTTTCAAGAATAGGCTTTAAAGGCCCATTTTCACCCTTAATGCAATGTGCACCACGAACCAAATATTCCTGTCACACAAAATTCACAGTTTACTGAAAACCTTCTAAGATCATCTTTCACGAGAGTCATCCTGGACATACACTACAGTCAATTCACTTTTGGGCCTTAGATTTCATGTGTAGTGTCACATGACTTTTGATGTAAACAAACCCTGAAAGTTCGGACATTCTTCGCATCTACCTCAACGGCAGCTAAATAACAACTTGCTTGATAAACAATCAAGTAAATGATATAAGAAAGATGTCAATTTTGAGCGAAGAAACGATTCTTGAAAGCGGGAAGTTATTTAAGGAAAACTGCCAAAGCCGAAGTTTGGACACATGTGCTGAGAGCTCGACTCAATGGTTTGCTTACATCAAAAGTCACGTGACATTACAAAAGGTGAATTGTTTTACGGTAAATACATTCGCCGTTCGTCATTTTTCAGTTTCCTTACGGTATTTTGAATTTTGTTTAGTAGAATCCGAAGAAAATTTTTTTTAAGTGTCACGCTTGGATCTCTTACGGACTCTGTGAACAGGGTCGGCGAAAAGAATAACGTTCGAATTTGTTCACTTTCTATAAGTGCTTGAGGATTCTAATAAATATAAAATATTTTCCGATAGAAATTGGTATTTTTCAAAGAGAAATATGGAGAAATATCAGACTGCTGGACATTCAGTTATTCGAAGACCGTGTCCGGTAGTGTGCGAAGAAATTTCCTAAAGGCCCATTTCCAACCTTGATGCAACGCGGTCGTTTGTTTTTGTTTTGAATCACTGCCAACGATAAGTAAACTTGTTCGTTTTAAGCACTGTTCGAACCGACCTTCCCGACGTGTTGTTACATATGTTACATACTAATGCGACTTTCCTCTTTTATCAGAAGAGCTAATTCTCACTTCGCGTGAAAAAAAAAACATCCGTTGCAACGGCTTAGGAATGTGTTTAAATTAAACTTCTCCTTAAGGGTATCGTATTTCGGCAGCATCGGCTAAGGCGCCCGTTTGAAACCAGTTGTCGCGTTTTGAATACAAACTCACGCGCGATTGCTTATTTCATAGCTTTTATCATCGGTGAACACGCTGTTCTCGAAAACTGGTTTATTCATCTCGCCTTTTAAACAAAAACTAAGAAGTTTTACTTGCTTATTTTAATGGTGTTGTGTTACAGTTTAGTCACTTGTCACGACTCGTATGCAAATTTTTATGCGAGGCCGGATTTGCTTCTTGTTCTATTATTTGTCTAATCATCGATCGATGTTCACGTAATTGCTCGAGAAAGAGAAGGGAAAATTAAATGCAGTAGTAGTAGTAGTTCAAGTTTGTTTGAGACACGTGTGATGAGAAAAAAAAATGTTTAAATTCCGGTGCGTAAACACCGAAGCGAGCGCCAATTGCAATGAATAAAATAAAACATTAATCACAATCTGAAATAGTATATTTTCCTTCTGTTCCTCATCGAAGGTGATCGAGTTAAGTTTGAATTTGCGAAGAAATCATCACGTGCGATGTGAACAGCAAATTAATTATATTCCGGTGCGTAAACAGCACTGATTGTAATTAATAAATTGAGAAGCATGGTACTCGATTAATAATACACGTGTTTCGATGCCTCGTGTAAGTGACGTTTTCCTTCCCCCCTGATTCATCAACAACTCAAATCAAGCATATCCACTGCAAAGCAATGCGATAGCGTGAGTGTAACAAGTAAATTTTCCGTTGTCGACTCATCGCTTTTTCAAACCTATAAGTTCTTTGTTTTACACAACAGTGTAATACAAAGGAAACGTGTAACTCTGAATAACAAAGGCAAATGAGACATTGTTTGATGCTACTCTGGTTTGCAGATTTTAATGAATGTAACCGAAGTAGTTACAATTCATAGGGGTGATCTAAACGCTGCAACAAGAGGTTCTTTTATATGATCACTAATTAGCGGCCTTTTTTCTGACGAGGTGTAAATAGGCGTCAGGAAGCAAACCGCCATCGTCACGATTTGAAGGAGCGTGGGCGGAGTTAATATGCCAAGCCTCCAAACAAAGGCGCTGGTGATAACGCCGATTAGTGGTGATAATTTTAGAATTATCCCACCCAATTGTATGGTTGGTTAGACGTGTATGCTCCGATAAAGCTGAATTTTCCTTTTTGCAAAGGAAAACCGCTTTTTGGTGCTCTTTTAACCGTGTACCAAACTGACGTTTGGTCTGTCCGATGTATTCGTTGTCACACTCATTGCAAGGAATAGAATAAATGACGTCGGTTCGTTGTTCTTTCGTGACAGGATCCTTAGGTTTGGCGAAAATATGCCCCAAAGTCTGAGAAGGTTTTTGAGCAACTTTAACGTTGTGGCTATTCAAAATTCTCTTGATGGGTTCAGTAACACCCTTATGTAAGGAATAACAGGAAAACCAGTCGCTGGTTCCCTTTCATCAAGAGCGTTACTATTTGTAACTGGTTTTTGGCAGTTACGGAGAAAATTTTTTTGTATAGCCATTTGCCTTTAGGACATTGGAAACATATTTCCTCTCCTCAGCCTTCGAATCGAGTGAAGATGGTAGACAGTCAGCCCTCCTAACCTCCTAGTTGCGCATGAGTCAACTTGTGTGCATTCTATGGACAAGTGCTTGGTGTGTTAGGTAATTTAGTGTTAACAACTGAGTTGAAAACGTAAATTAGCCACCGTAAAGGGTAAAAAAGCTGACGTTTCGAGCGTTAGCCCTTCGCAATCGCTCTGACGTCAGCTTTTTTACCCCTTACGGTGGCTAATTTAGGTTTTCAACTTAGTTGTTAACACTAAATTACCTGCTATGCCCTCCCACCTTAATGCTTTATTCAGAAGTGATAATGTAGGGAGAAGTTCAATGTTAGTCTTTCTTGTTGGTAAAAGGGTTAAAAGGACACATATGTTCCAAAATTGCTGAAGAAACTACAGAAATACAAAGATTGTTTTTGAAAAAAAAAGCAAATTTTTTAATGAGGGTAAAATTGAATAGATTTTCTCTCATTTTTCATAAAAAATGTGATACAATAGTTGGTACTTTGAGAGACAACTTAATCAACCTACAGATTTCCTTTAAGCTTGAAATCTTTGTAACCAACCATTCTTTGGCATTTTCTTGGATAGCTTAATGTTACAATGACATTACAAAAAAATGCCAGAATCATTATTGCAGCAACACTTCTAAACTCGGAAAGTTTTCTTAGATCCCATGATTGCAGACCTCTGGAGGTGGTTAAGTTTGGATCTCATTCTTCATGAATTGTTTTGTTTCAGTCTCCTCCAACAAACTGTGGTAACCTAAGTGGGCACACAAAATTCAAAAAATTAAAAAGTATCACAAAGTTAAAAACATTCTTGACTGAAAAAGCCAAAATTGTTCCATGGAGACAAAATTTCCTTGATTTCCCCTCTTTTATAGAAAAATATCTACGTTTACCTGTATCCAGGAGATTTAGGTAACTATACACGAGACAAGGAGATTCATTCTGTATCTAGCAGATTGAAGCTGGCACATATTATGCATGGAGTCAGCAATTTTCCTTGCATGGCTAGCTTTTTATCCTCTCGCTTTTAATGACTTTTGTCGTAATACAAATGCATCCTTTTGGAAGTGGCAAAAAGTTTGAAGGAAATGAAAGAAAGAGAGGGGACACTTTTTTGAAGGAGGCACCCAGAGCATTCTTGCTGATTTCTTGTTAATTTTGTCGAGAAACATGAGGAAATTTGCTAACGAATGTGCAATGGGTAAACAGTGTAGTAAAACTTTAACTATATTTTTTTCATTGGAATAGTCTGGAAAAATGCTGATACTAGTAATGACATAAAAATGATGACCCATGAACGGTGCTATCAGTAAGATTTGAAGTAGGTGGCAACATCGGTAAAGCACCCGCCGGAGAATAATGTGTAAAATAATTTCCCTCTCGTTAGCCTATCAGTTTTATTCAGAAGAAACTGGCTGCAAACCGAGTTTTCAGTATTAAACTTTGGTCAGTGATCATTAAATATTAGTCTCCTTTGTAACAAATGTTTAACTGTTGGTTTTATTTCTAAACAAAGTTTTCCATTTGCTGACATGCAAACCTGCTACCCGAGTTTCACCCAAACCCCTCTGAAAAGACATGGTTACTGGTAACCAAAATGGATTAATATCAATAACTGGGAAACTACCCACCTACCCCTCCCCTAACCCGACATTAACCCTAACTTGTTGTCAATTGACTGTTGTTGAGTTAGGGGAGGGGTAGGTGGGCAGTTGCCCAGATACTGATTTTGATCCACCAAAATTTGAGTCGGTATGTTCTTGGAAACTCAAAATATTCTTTTTTGCTGGATATGTGATATATGATGAGACAATATCAACCATTTTTATCATAACTTGTTTATATAGGTAAAAGTTGACTGAAAGAACTCAAAATGATCTGGAGGTGTTCGCTTGAAGGCTTTCGAAAAGTCACTGAAAGATCCGAAATGTTGGTAACCTTCCAAAATCGCATAATACTAAACACGTTCAAAAGGCAGTCTGCAAAGAAATTTCAAGATTATATGTTGTGTGTATCAAATTTCCGTATGCACATTTTCTCAAATTCAGACGCTACGATCCAAATCTTTCTTCAGCTGACCAAGCCAGATTCTATAGTTTTCTATTCGTTCATCTCTTTAACGCACTGTTTCTTTGAGGATTTGCATTGTAACGCCACGATCTTTGTTATCAGTCTTATCCCTCTTGTAATTCGAAACAAACCTCTCAGTCTCCTGCCTTGAAACGCAGAGCGCATTCTTCTTTTTAACTGCAAGTTTTGTCTGAGAGTTTTTTTTTTTAACTAAGTGAAATTAAAGAAATGCGGTGATGAATTCCGTTAGTTTTGCCCATTGGAAAAACCCCAAAAAGTATTGTCGTGTACGGAAGTTTTTCATAAGTAAGGCATCCAACTGTTAATGTTTACATAAGTTAAATCAATCAGCCACTGAATTCTAAATGTTCTCATGGCTCGAGTTTAACCACAGACAGCCCAAGCTCCAGCTGTGAGATAATCATTAGAGGCTTCTCTTATGGACTTAATTAACCTAGAAATGGACAACTCGCTAAAATGGGTTCTTTATAACATAGTAACTGGTCAGATAACAAGCGATGCACTGTGGAAGTAAGGTGAGGTATTTTCCTTGAGAATTTGATTGTGCTTTTATATTCCCAAGAGCGGTCGTAAGTATTCCCATGCAAACTCTTCTAATTTCGCCTTGACACTTCGCAAGACGATCATCTCACAGCTGGAGCCTGGGCCATCTGTGGTTTAACACAAGAGCGTAAACAATCTTCAAGCTGCCGGTTGCTTTATTAAAAATCACAAAAGTCACGTACTTACTCATCTGGCTAACCATTAACCATATGGCCATGGTCTTCTTCGCTTTTCACAGCAAATGTTTTTTTTTGATAAAAAGTTAGACGCTAAGTGTTCAATGGCGGGAAACTTAACATCTTTGCAAAAAGATCCGAATTTGATTTACGTGTGTTATCAACAAGCGCGCACTTTTCAAATTTGTATTTACTAACTAGCAGTTGAGAAGAACTGCTTTTGTTTTATTTGTCCAAAGATATTTGATGATTCCAGTTTAGCACAAAATTGTTTGAAAATTATTTTAAGGTTACTTCCTACTTACGCCGGTGACCTTCGGGAAAAAAATTCCTACGCGCGCTAGTTTCACTAAAATCCTAGCAAACTATAACTCAGAAGAAAGCTTTGAACTGCAGTTTATGATTTAAACGAGGTTTCCTCCTATGAAGTATCAGGAGCCGGTAAGGCGTGAAACGACCGATGATTCTTTTGAATTTATGGGGTATCGGATGCCGCCGCACGAGCATAAAATGGCTGCACAGTCTTATTCAGAAGGCATCGATCAACAATGGAGTCTCAGGCTTTTTCGATATTCGAAATGGTTGTCTAGATATCGGCATCCAAAGTTGGAGTAGCTAAAAATATGCAAGGCGTGTTGTGCGTAAATGGGCGTCGCCGGACAAATATTTAAATATCAAAATTTCCTGACTCACTTCCGTTTGTCATTATTCCTGGAATGTTTTGGCAAAATTTGACGTAAATTTGTCACGTCTATATACTCTACAAATTCGTTCTAGGTGGATGTATACCTCCCAAATTCAAATGCGAGATTTTAGCTCATAAAGGTCCGTAAACAACTCGCGCTACGCCAGGAGATTATCTCGCCTCCTGAAACCGCAAACCAATCGGACAACGGGACCTCCTGGCGTCAATGACGATGGATCAAGATTTTCCGCGAAAAGTAGACCATTACATAGTTATCTCGATTGCTCAGCGGAGCGTTGAGGAGGACGACACAATAATGGGCAAAACCCCATTGAAAAAACCCGCCGCAAAAATGGAAAGTAGTGTTTACACGCGGGGACCAATTACACAGGAAAGAAGCAAAAACTGGGGGGCAAACGGTTTCATTCTTTCACTCTGCAGCTTTCTTAAGAAACCAAAATTATTAAAATAGCAATATAGCATTGAAATAAATCAGCTCAGTACAAACCGCAGATTGTTCAGCGAAATTGTTCAGTGCTTGAATTTTTTCTGATTTAGTTCGGATACAAGCGAAAAATAACGCTTTGTTACCGATCAGATGTGGCCGATACAGGAACAAAAAGCACTTGATTTTCTTTGTCGGTTGTGTTTTTATTGCTGTTATCTTCATGAGTTTTGTCCCAGAGTTGTCGATTTTTTTTCGTGAAAGTCGATCAGCATTCTGGTGGAAGTGACGCTCCAAGCATCGTTTTCCTTGTGATCTGTTCGTAGGAATTGTGGGGGCTTGTGTTACCGATCTGTGATTGGTTTATTTTAATTTGATGCTGGGACTTGTCCCATGAACAGTTCACACGAAGCGTTTTGACCAACCAGTCTGAGGGACTAGTCGCAAGGACAAAATTTTTAGTCCCTACGACTAGATTTTGTGGCGAAACGGCTAGTTCAGGGAACTTGTTGCAGAGACCAGTCCCCTCTTGTGTGCCGACCTTTACTGATTTATTAACTTTTATTTGAAAAGACGTTTTTTCTAAACAACTCGGGTGCGTTTAAAGATTTCAGAAATTTTTGTATGGAAACGTTAGATTAAATGATTAAATTCAGTTAAATCAAAAAAAGCAAAAACGATTTTTTGGCCTCCGAGGATGGGAAATAACCTTGAGTAACCGACGATGTGTAGTTCTAAATTTATGTAAAACACGCAAAACAAGCAGAAAAAGAAAACTGCCTGTGAAATAATGAATCTAAAAATCAAAGAGCATGGAAATTGAAAATAGATAAGATGAATGCTTCAATACTTAATTGACTCCTCTGTGTTACTGAATAACTTTTTTGTTCTATAAATTCGACTTGAACATGGCAAAGTATACCCGGCGGTGCGAATGAAGAACATTTGAAAAAGGTAATAGATGAGTTTATTCGGAAATTTTATGAGCATTTGGAAAGTTTTCATCCAGTTCCTTTTTATTTGCCTCTCCCCCATTGTGGCATGGACATGTGATATGCATATATGTTATTTGCCGGCTGAGAGGTCCGTATGGTGAAAAACTGTGACCGAGGTCTTGAAAATACTGCCCGAGGCCGTAGGCCGAGGGCAGCATTTTCAAGACCGAGGTCACAGTTTTTCACCATACGGACCGACCCTTAGCCGGTAAATAACATATTTATTTTTTTTAAACTCGACGAAATTCTTTCCGAAAGAACCCGAATGATTTAGGGCTGTTAATACGGCAAGATCTTCCATGAACTGAACAATTTTTGAGCGAGTAAATGGTGGTTAAAATAGAGGTGATGCAAATTCAAGAGGGATGCCTCAGCGAAACATTTTCATTTCCGTCACGATAAAGGTGATTTAAAAGGCTTCTAAACAAACTTTGAAACATTATTTTTACAACTATATGTCACAATCTGACACCTGTCAATTAGAGAGCACGTAACAAAAAAATGCGCAAGAACATTTGAAAAACAACGGAAATAGTTTGGCAAGGACTGTCTCGACAATGTTCGCTTCAAAAACAGTCAATGATCTAACGGAAAGTATTATTCAGTCTCATCGACGATATATTCGTGTACGAAGATTACCTCTGTTCATTAAGTAAACGGTGAGGAAAGTAATTGTGAGTAAATTCAAATTTTTTATTTTGAAGTTGTGAGAGTTTGCTCGTTTGTTTGCTGCAATGGCGTGTGTAAATCTCGTCTTTCCTTCATAAAAACTAAATTCGAATGGAACACTCCAACAAGACACAAGGGGATTTAATGCGGCCTTTCCTCAAAAAAGTCCTTCAGTTTCTTTGTGCAATTTACGGTACAAATGTCCAAATTGAATGGACCTGGAAAGACTCACCGAGAGTGTATATTTGTTGTAGAACTTCAATTAAAACTTCGCTCGCTCTTTTCACTACGCACAGATTGCTTGAGAAAATTCAGGTATTAAATGAATGAAAGTTCCATCGTTTAACTGTAACGAAATACCTCACGTTTTAACTTGCTAGGTACTTTTTGTGGACGATTAGAATAAACTGCAGACGGTTTTTATGCCGCTTGTCAACCAACGTAATGACACTACTGTTTGTACAAATTCATTCTGAAACTAATATTTTTCTGTCAACCAAAGTGATTTGAGAGAGAGAAAAGAGAGGATTCATAAGTTATTTATCGGCTTGAGGTAGTAACCGACTTGTTTGCTTAAAAATACTGCCCAGCCGGAAAAACGAGATATATTTATGAAAAATGGCAACGAAATTTGGAATGTACTCGGCGATTCACGAAAGCGTTACCGTGGCCTGTGGGCAGAGATAGGAAAATACTGACCGGGTAATGAACCAATCAGATTGCAGGATTCGTTACCGTGCCCTCTTTAAAAAAAAAAATTATTTTTATCAACATTGTATTTTGTAATATAATTGTTCATTGTTAAAAGTGTGATAAGGGTCAATCAAACTTCCGCGGGTGCCAATTTATCCATTAAAGTTCATTAGTCTTTTTTAACCTGAATTGGTGTATTGGTATGGGTGATACCGATCAATGTCGGGTTTCTTTGATAGTTTTAACAGTTTCACTGATTGGGCCAGCGAAGCAACGGTGGTCTCTTAAGGATGGCCTTGAGTTGAAGCTATGTCTTGAATTGTTCACTTTGTTGATTTTAGGACTTTTCGCTTCTGAGTTTGATCATCAGATTGGATGGTTGGTGCTAAAGGGTATTTCAGAATATGCAGATAGTACAGTGTGTTCATCAGAGGAGTGGAAGACTTTTTCAAGTGTGATGGCTGCTTCTGTCGTTGAAAAGATTTTGAGTGATCCTGATGTATTTCAAGAGTGGAACCATTATCAAGGTAACATGAGTGAGCAATGTCTTTTGACTGCATAAATATGTCTTAATCGACATTATCTCAACACTTTAAAACTTAGCTATTGCAAAGTGTTTATTAAAAAACCAAGCTTTTTTGAAGTAGAACTTAGGTTGAAGTTCATGCAATGGGTTACCATTTCAGAATCGTAGAATAGAATACTTCTTAGGTAATTTAATGGCTTGTACAAGAAATACAACTGTATTTCTACAGGTACCATTGGCTATTTTACTACTCATGTGAAAAAATTGTATTTGCATCACATAGTTGAACTCCACATGTCTTTTTGTGGATGAAATTTCACGGTATTGAAACTCAAACAATTACCAGGAAATAAGCAAATAGGTAACCCAAGCAAGTAAGTTTTTTGTATGTGCATTAGTTTACATTATTCGGTTCATTTTTTTGTGGCAATGTTTCCCAAAACATAAGTTCACGCCAGTGAAACAGCATGATGTTCATTGATTTTAAGCTCATTCATGCTAAAAGCAATGAATGAGGTATTGTGGTGAAGATGTTGACGGAAGTTGTCGACCGTGAACGGAAGTAGTCTCGCAGGCTACCCCACTTAGCGAAGGTCAAAATTAATTTCGATGAAGCTCAGAAACTCACGTGGAAAGAAATAAAGTGGTTGTATGGTTTAATAAAAATAATAACCTCAAATCACATTTCCGAACTTCTAAAAATGCAACTTGAATCGAGAAGCCGAAATGCTCACACTTAGGGGACCGGTAGCGGGTTCAATTCAACACACGCTGTGACCACGCAGAAGAGCATCAGAGGTAGCCATGTTGGTAAGCCGCGCATTAGCGTTCGTCTTCATTTGGTATAAAGTAATCATTGCTCTTCATTGTGCTTGTATTCGAGAAACAATTGCAAGCTTTGCATGTGGTCCATACGTTTCATCTTTTTAACCGATATGTGATCATTTTGTTGACAAAAATGCGGACCGAGACCAAAACTGTTCCTTCGACTTGACATATTTTCATACTGATTTTCACATATGTGCCTTACAGGAACCGGCCAAATTTTATAGGGAAAAGCGAAGCGTTGCTTTCGTGACTGGTTATTTGTTTACTTTTCTGGTAGTTTTATCTCTCGTCTGTTGGTTGACTACGCTGATATTGATATGTGAAAATAAGACTATGCGAGGGCTTGAAATTCTATTAAGAACGATTGTGGCCGCTGTGTTAAAAACAAAAGATATCAAGAAACAGGCAAGGAATATTTCACAATTGTGCAAATGGACGCGAAAGATGAGGGTTACCAATATTTTGTTGCTAGAGCAACATTTGATGCCTTATTATATCTACTCAGCCCACCTTCCGCCCCAAAAACACACACACACACCAACAAAAAGGACCCTGTCTGCCTAATGACCTCTGCCTATCCTACCTCCAGCCCACACCACCTTTTTTCCAATTCCCATCACGACGAAAGCACAAGTTTTCTTATCACACAACTGTCCAAAAATAAGAGAAAATTTATTCCATAAGTCTTGAAAGTTCACATAAACCGAATTCAACTGTACCTATATTCAACAAGTCCAAGAAATCTAGACAAACTTAAGCCATAACATGAAATGAGCTGGCTCCGAGAGCCCTTTGATTTAGTTATTTTTTTATATAAAAAAATCTCTATGTTAGCGTATAGAGTGGTATGTTGCTCGCACCAATCAGATCGCCGCATTAGGGTTTGCATCTCGCAGCAATCAGATTGCCGCATTAGGGTATGTACCTCTCACCAATCATATAATAGCATTTGAATATCCTGCACCAATCACGGCGTTTGGGTATAGTCTTATTGTAAATGATTTCATGAACCACAGAGCTGAGCACAATGACATTAACGAGAAATTTTGGACTCATTTGATAAATGTAACGGTTTGTGGCCTTCCCGAGAGCCTCGTCGATGAAGGTCGATATATCGGGATATGAAAGGTACGCATTTAAGAACAAGTCTCTGTAAGAATCAAACATCTTGGGAAATGAAAATTCCGAGTGCTGCACCTTCTTTCATGGGAATTTGAGCGATCCGAAATCCTCTAAAGATACACTGTTATACTTGTATGTCATTTGAAACATGTTTAAGTTGGCTGATCTACACGAAACTATCCTCACACCGGTCATTTGTCATAAACTTGTACGTTATCACGATGGCGTGACGCTGTATTTCTCCGTGAAGTTTCCATCGGTCGCTCCAAAGACGAGAAATGGATATTTTTCATTTATGTCAGTAGATTTCCGCTTTCTGAAGGAAAACCAAAAAAAAAAAAAACCTGGATTGAACGCTCGTAAACACTGAGAATCTGAGAGTATATATATCGTAACTTGTCAGCGGCAGTAATACAGGTAAAATCCAGTTGCAACAATAGCAATATGAACGACATAGGCATCTCCTTACAAAGAGCAGATTCGGGCAGTTATCATTTCCTTGCGACAGGAACTAAGATATTCCGAATCATCTAAAAATTGTCAGAAAACTGTTAGAAAATTTGCATAAGATATGATGAGGAGAGACTTATCACCGCCGCAGTACAATCGAGTCAATCAATGTTTCCTTCCATGTCTTGATAAAGAAAAAATCACAACAAAGTTCGAACTAAAAGATTCAATGAAATCATAATGTCATAATTCCACCTCTCAAACAATTTATTATCCACACGCAAATCGCAACTTGTCACTTGAACGAAACTCCCCATCGTTAATATGTAATCTGGTTTGCTTCATGTCCTTCAGGAAAAAGAACAGCGATTTCATCACCATTAATTTCCATACTTTTCTCCCGGATATTTTCTACAAGCTTTTTTTTTTTTGGTTGTTTTTACTTAGAATGCGCTAAAATCTGCTGATATATCGAAAAATGTCCATTTCTCGTCTTCTGTGGGGCGACCGATGGAAACTTCATGGAGAAATACAACGTCACGCCATCGTGACAACGTACATGTTTATGATAAATGACCGGTGAGCGCCTAACTGCATGCAAAATTTGAAGGGGGGTTGAAAATTTTCATTTCCCAAGATGTTTGATTCTTACAGAGACTTGTTCTTAAATTTTTAAGTTAAAACGTGTTTTTCCGCTACTTTACTCACAACGCACACGCTAAACAACTTACATTCCATCACGTATCATGAGCATGTCCAATCAGAACATACGTAATCATTGCAGTACATGAACATCAGGCAATTTTTCACGTGCTTGAATTGTATTCCACCAATCAAATCCATTTCGCCAAATTAGACTAAACTCTTATCACGTGTCATTTTCTTGTAAACAACCTGCATTTTATTACGTATTCTAACTGCATTTTCCAACCCCGCTGAAAAAAATTAACATGGAACTAAATGCTACTGATATTGAGATTTCCACGCTTTTCTCTTGTTTAATGTATCTTCACTTATTCGAGATCGCAATATATTTTTATTTAGGGTTTATTAGAGGTACAACAGAGTTTCAGTTTGCTTTTCGTAGTAAAATTACGCGAACTATATTTTTGAGGTAGCTATCTGTAGACGAATAATTTTGACTTTCTCTCTGTAGGAGGGACGTCAGTAAGCGTAGTATCTTTCGCAACCGTTATTTGGTCTCGTCACGCAACGTGCTATCTCCCTAAAACGGGAAATAGGGGGCGCTGTGTGTCGAGACCAAACAACGGCGGCTGCGAAGGAGACAACAGCTAGCGTGGCACCGATGCATTTCATTTTAACTTAGAAGTATTGAGACAATAGAGACAGAAGATCGCATAATATCCGCAATATTTTGTTTTTTTTTTTAGAGTTATGCTCTTTCGGTGACATAAATGAAATCATTAAGTACACACACCGTTCCATCTCAACCCACCCAGCCGAAAATAAAACTCTTGCATACTACACACGCCTACGTTTATTACTAATCAATATAATCAGCATGTGATGTTTGTGATTTTCGAACTGTTACAAGTATTTAACCTTCTTAAATCAGGAAGAGATTGCACCTTCTTATGGGACTCAACTCAAGTTTATTTTACATTTAGTAATGCACCTGTGCCATTTTTAATTCAGTGTTCTTAAAAATATATAGACAGACGTGAGAAGAGATGAATTTTTAAAGTTCACAAACTTAGCAATTCCCATGTGGCCCAAAATGGCTGTGTGACTAAATTTGAAAATTGAGGTCAGAAGCTTACAAATTCAGTGAAGCAACTAAAGGTTTGACCTTTTTTTACCACGACTCACATGAACGATTTATCCTTAATTCTAGTTTTAAGCTGGAGAAATGGAAAAGGTTCATACACCGTATGTAAAATTAAAGAGTTTCTTAGGTGTTTCGTAGATGAAAGATTTTTTTAGTGACTGGTTGTTAGTGCAAGGAAGCATTGAACAAGTTTGCTGTCTAAGTTCCTTGCCTCCAACTTCAGTGGTTTGATGCACCTCTGTCAGTTTTACCTCTGAAGAAGGGGGTATTTTACGAGTGAAAAATTTCAGAGATGAGCTGCATTTAAGTTGATAACAGGATTCTCCACATCGAGTCAGATCTTGGTTCAAAGATTTTAAATCTATAATCATTATCCAAATCAATTATTCCATCACTCACAAGCATTACAATATTAAAACTGTTCAGGTACCTTTCTTATCGCAAGAAAGTCTGAATGAGGTCGATTTATTGCGTAATTGTCTGAATGAACTGACCACAATTAAGGTGATCCCTCGGTGTTGCGCTACGCATCCTGTACTGCGCAGAAAAATCACGTAATCAGGGGAATAAGCACGCATGCATTCCGAAAACACGGTATTGTTTTTCAATCAGTCATCACTAGTTAAAGAGGTGCGGTGGTCTTTGGCTATCGAATTTCGCTGCACCAACTATCCCCTTTAAATTGGAGAAAATTTTTCAAAAAATTATGGAAGGGATAAGAGGTATACAGATGTATCTAAAATCAGGCGCAAAACTCATTACTCGAGGATGCAAATTATGACCTTGAAAGAAACGTTTTGAGTCGGTGTCGTTTAACATTGCGTAATACACCTGAGAGTTTCTACCAGTCAAGTTTTTTTCAAGTCTTACTATTAAAACCCTTACCTCCGATCACTGCAAAATGTATGTGAACCGATGAAATGACGCGCGTGATTAGTGCCAGCACAGGCATAAATGGGGTAAGTTGGGCCTAACATATCTCTTAAGTAAGCATTGAGACCTATCTTTTTTAATGTATTTTTCGAAGCAGAGATGGGTTGGGAACCAAGGAAAGTAAAAAAGGTTGTTTGATAACAACTTTTGAGTTTTTTTTTCTGTTAAAAAAAAATAACCTCTATGTTAGCGTACAGAAAGTGGTATGTTGCTCGCACCAATCAGATCGCTGCATTAGGGTATGTATCTCGCACCAATCAGAGCGTTGTTTTTGTTCTTTGGTTTGAGAGGTGTTCAAATTTCAACGAAGTAATGGGGGATTCGGAGAGAGCGGTTCGTAAAATGGATTCATCTTTTAGAATGAGAAATGTTGGCTTTTCTGTGTTTTAACGTGTATTTCACCGCGCTTTATGAAAAATACGATACTACTGGACAGATGAAAGATAGATTACCTATAATAAACGTGTTACTCATGCTGTGAAAATGGTGGATAGTTGTTCGAGAGAAAATGGAGTTCTGTGCACTGTAGCACGATCATGGTTATTGTTCCTTCACGACGACAGTGAGTGGAAATATTTTGAACCAAGTATTGCTTGAGGTGTTGAAGAATTGCAAGCTGTGTTGCAAGATTCATGATTTGTTGAGTGCCAATTATATTTTTCTGGATTGGTTTGCTCGGTGCTATCTCTAGATGAATGTCTGATTAAAATTAACTATGGAAGATTTTGTGTATGTTCTCGATGCCTGGAGAATGTGATCTTGTGCAGTCGTTTGTGTTTGGCCAAGGACGAATTCAGATATCATCGTTAGCGTGTTTATTTGATTTTGTTATCTGGAATGAATGATTTACGGAGGTAAGTTATTATGATCTACTGACTTCGAAAATATATCAAGTTGAAGGAACGATTTTGGTCTCGTTTCGCATTTTTGTCAACAAAATAAACACATACCGCTTAAAAGTCTACATGTTGTACCTAGTCCACATCTTGTATCCAGTCTGTAGTTTGCAGTCTGCATTTTGTACTAAAAGGTATCCGTGGCACCAATACAGTTTATTTTTGATCAATGTTATTCGTACAACATACACAATCTGCCACAAAATACCTGTGTGTGAGTTAATTCTATATTTTCGTTCTTTTCCGTGTTAATACCCTTCTTTCCTTTGGAAAAAATGGTGACATCATTTACAATGTTTCAAGCAATCCACCCACCCCCAAAAATAACTCTTGCATGCATAGCATGCCTGTTTTTCTTAGGAATCACCTTGAATTTTTCCGAAAAGGAAACTGAAGTACTTTCTAATGGCCATGCGGAATGACATTGTTTTATTATTTTGAGGCGGATTTGGGGGATCTTGATATTCAAACAGGTTTGGAGGTGGATGTGTCTAATCTCTCTCAATTCACAGAGACACTGTCCTTTAGACTACCTCAACACTTGTGTTAGTCATCGCTTGAAAAGCAAACTATTGTAGCGAATAGGTAATTAATTACGGACGAGGAAGGACTCATTAGGAAAGTTATTCCAGGTGCAAATTCTATTGACAAATTTCAATTTTGGAACAGTGTCCTGTTCATTGAGTATAAGTTAGCCTTAGAGGCTTCGGTGAAGACGAGAGACTAAATGAAGCACGCTTCAAATGTGAAATAAATGGGGTAATTGAATGATTTGTAAATTTTTTCCAACGTTTCTTACATGTACAACTTTATTTAATGTACAATTAAACGCTTCCTGACAAGCTTTTGGTTCAATGTCTCTTTAGAAGCAAGAGCCTGTAACGAGAGGGATCTTCCTGGAAAAGAGATTAAACTGATTACCGAGGGATTGAAAGTATCCTTTTCATGGGTATCCGCGGGTTTCGCCCATAACGAGTTTCGCCCAAGAAGCGTTTCGCCCATAACGAGAATGGTTTCGCCCAGGCATAAATTCGATTCGCCCAGACTGACAGTCAGTGATTATCCAGGCTAAGGGCCTCTTTAGACATATGCTTTAGATGAGCCCGGTAACCGGGCTTTTGTTTTCTGTTCATTCATAAGCTGGCGTGCGGAACTTATCTTCCGTGTACAAAAGATTTGCAACGATGATATGTTCCACGCGCAAGTGTTTTCAAAAGCGTTTAATTTAATTCTCGAGAAGAAAAGTGATGCAAAAAATCATAGCAATGCTTTTTACGACAAACGGACGTCTCTGCAGTATTTCGTGCGCGAATTACCTTAACAATCCCCACTCCACAGTGAAAGCTATAATTGACTTGTTCGTTTCAACAGTAACTTGTTCGTTTCAAAATTTCATGATCTCAGGTCAAGTCACTTTTCTTCATTCTGTGCATACAAACGTTTATAAGGTTAACGTTTTCCGAGTGAGAGTGTAGAAGTTTTACTTATGGGCGAAACCTTTATTGTTCTGGGCGAAACCATTCTCGTTCTGGGCGAAACCATTCTCGTTCTGGGCGAAACGATATGTGCGAAACTCGTTATGGGCGAAACCCGCTATAACCTTTTCATGAAGTTAGTTGTAGTCACCTTGACTTATGTTATCATAGAAATCAAACTTGAATAGTTTCTTTAAAAGTGTGGTTACTCATCGTCGTAAAGCACGATAACAGATGCACCTCATACGATGGCTGAACTTGTAATTCAAGTGACATTTTTGCTTAGTTTACCACCCTGTAAGGGTCTCGGAAAAAAACTACGCAACTTGCTTAACAATCGCGCGTATTGTATGTTAATGTGATATCTTGTGGATTGGGACTAATGCACGTAATCGGGACTCATTAAAATGATAAGAGTTCTGTGTAAAAATCAATTATATGCTAGAAGTAATTGAATGAACTGAAGTAATTTTCACGCGCACTTTATGGGGAAAAACCTTTGCGTGAAATCAGTAAATCAGATTGAACATCTTTATAGAGACATTTGCACTTATCTGTCGCTAATCTTTAAATAAACAGCGCTCTAAATGGCCGAAGAAAAGAAGTAATCTTCATCAGGCTTGCTCTTGATGACACCAACAGAAGTAATTAACTTTAAATTCTGAAAGCTTGTCGAACCACTATCAAGGAGCACAATAGGCGCTTAAGCCTTCAAATATGAATGACCTCGTGTTTTGGAATAGAAGGGAATGAAAAATCACTTGTCTTGGCTGATTGTCTTGACCTTGATGAAGAAAATGAGCCATGGACATAATCGTGTATTTGCCATGTTAATATTCACAAATGTAATGTTTTACTTCACCGTCACTCAACGATCATGGTGCGTTACATAACTTAACTTGGCTTGCCTGATCGGGAAAAGAAGACTTTGAAAATCGATAAGTTTACAGAGAGAGACTCAACTGCAGACGTGGAGAGTACGAAGAAGGTAAGCATGTCTGTTAGGGGGTATATAAGCAATAGACCGTGCTTTCTGATGGTTCACCGGTATATTGACTCACATGGAATGTTGGAAGGAGTCGAGAAAAGTTTGTAAATAATGAGCCGGAGTGATTTAAAAAATTTCGAGCGTCCTCCCATTATCCTAAGTGGGTTATTGCGTCGGTAAAGCGAAGAATGTGCGGTCTATTCCTGTTATGAAATAAACTTAAAATGTTTCAATTTTATATGGGTTTACTGGTGCAATAGCGGAGAGGTTATGACGAATTGAGGTGTTTGCACAACTGTAGTATTTCACTTATTTTATAATTTTTCTTAAACTGATTTTCCAAAGTAACTTTGTTGGTTTATGGAAAAGTTACCAGTCATCAGTTGTTAGTTTTTCTTTTCATTTAACTACTACCGATAATAGTCCATGGGCCAGGACCCCCAAAAATGACCTCTCGGTAGCACTCAAGGAAGTAATGCTACCATGCATTTTTGAAAACTGCAATTACTTTAGTTTAATATTATGTATGATAGCAGTGCCCAATGAGTAGCTGAACAAGTATTATTACGTGATCAAGTGACGTCACTTCTTTCTACAGAATTGACTGGAAACAAACATTAACAAACATTATTCTTTCCAAGTCCGTTAACCGTTCTTTAAGGGTAGTCTATGTATGAAAATGATAGATGTTTCTTCTAGATGAGTTTTTAAACTTCTGAGTTCAAAATTATTTGAGTTTCGACGATTTGTTACGGTACAACATTTCCATTGTCGCTATTTCGAAGAAAACAAAACCAGAAAGAAACCGTGAAATTGCCTATGACGTTAGCGAAATAACCAATGATACGTCAGCCAACTGACCTGAAACAATAGCGAAACCACCTAAACCATAAGCGAACTGGTCGTTAGCCAAACGAGTTCAAAACGACTCCATTGGCCAATCAGAACACATGATTTGCCTCATATTGCCCGTGGGTGCTGCCAGCGATATAACAACTTGTATTACAATGCCTTACAAAACGAAGTAGCGACTTGTCGCGAGTTAGACGTCTTTCCCCATGTTGTGTTTCATCAGTAGACACCTCTGCCCGTGGTACTGAGCAACAGCTGCTAAAAAATCACGAGAGGAGAGGCCAATAATTTTGCTATCACCCGTACTTAGAGTGGCCTTTCTAATCGTGGCACAGGTGCGCAAGTTGACGCAGTTAGTTTAAGTATCTATTGCACGTGTTTGTTCCTTCCTTATATCTCTTTTCACAAAAGTGCATATTTGTTCATAAGTTCTGCTCGCGTTAGGCCCTTCTCGACAAGGCCTTTGCTCTTTACTTACCACATTACATCCACGAATCTCTTCTGCGTTTTCCGTTGTAAGAGAAATTTTCTCAAATTTTTGCTTCATCGTTTTAAAGGCTACGGTATTTCCTGCTACTGCTGGCTGGTGGAATTTCTCCTTCCTTAGCACTCTCTGCCAAATTAAGCAATATCCTATGATTTCTAATGACGTTAATGATGATGATGATAATAATAATAATAATAATAATAGTATTATTAATAGTATTAATAATAATAATGATAATAATAATAATAATAATAATAATAATAACAATAATAATAGTAATTACCATGATCTGAGTAGTGACTAATACCAATTTCAGAACAAGGCCGTTTAGTTTGGTTTGTTCATAGTAGTGAAGGTTCGTTGTGATCTTGATATTCGATCGCCAACTGTTTGCAAGTATTTTCGCTGATGAGCAATGAAAATTCCAGCTTTATGTACTTATATTTGTGTTCTTTATTTATTAACTGTCTTTTTGAAGCGTCATAAAATAGCAAGGTTAAGAATTCTGGCCCCATGGACAATTGGTTCGAATTGCTGTTGATTAGCCGGAATAACACGACTGATCATCAGTGATGCTTTAATTCTCAATTTCGAAGAGGAAAAGCTATTATTAACTACAGTATTCACAATTGTAGTACGTTCCAAAGTTTGTTTCACAGTTGCGCTCCTGTGTGTAAATGAGCGTTAAGTGATGGAGCCCGTCAAAGGCTATAGCAACTGATAGCTTTGTCGATTCTGCGGAGGCTTGCATAACCGGTTTGTGTGGTATGCAGAATTCTCGCCCCCCCAAAAACATTTCTTTAGCTCTTTCGACAACTGATCCTCAATAACTTCCGCTTACTCGTATGTCAGGTTCTGGTGCTCAAGACTTCTAAGTTGGCACAAACTTCCTCTTTTTTGTCGGGCAACTCAGGATGATTTCCTTTCGAAGAAAGTTCAAGATATTGAAATGAAAGCTGCCCTCGATCAGTTGTTTTCCTGTAAACACTCTTGAATGCTTGTCTTACGTTATGATGATAGAGTTGAGACTTTGTGTACTCTTTTAGTAAGATTTGCAAGTTCCATTCGCCGGACCTTCTCCGTAGTTAAGCATGGTGACAAATGCATAAAGGAGGCTCCATGAGGTTTTTGCTTAATGTTGGCGCGTGCACCAGCGTTATGTTTTCCTGGAAAATTTTTGTTTTGGCTTTGTGAGGTCACTTAAAGTCATCAAAAGGCGATGAGCAAGGTTCGGACTATCATTTGCTGAACTAAATATTGCCAAAATGATTTTCGTTATTAAGCTAGGGCTCCACGAAGGGAGGCGCTCTCTAAGGATTACTTCACTGAAATCGTCAATCATTTAAAAGCCGAAAAAAAATAGAACTTCGCCAAGATCGGTATCTGTCGCCTTTTGGCAATCTTTCCCACGGTGTTTTCTTTTCGGTTGACCTCTTTTTCAGGCGTAGAAGTCCTATGAATATTACAGTTGCAGTTGCTGGAAAACCTAGATTCCATCACATAAAAACAGTATTGTATAATACTGTTTTAACACACCTTTTCAGATAACTTTCGTGCGATCGTATCGAGCCGCCATGTTTGTTTTTCATGTTGAAAGCTTTAAAGCCCGCGCTTTGTTCGCACCCACAAGAATAAAGGAAATGATCAGCAACTAACGAAGCTCTTGATGTTTTTACAAATTCTCCTTGTTCGAAGTTAGGTTATGTCAAGAGAACAGTATAGAGAATATGCCCAACGATGTTAGGGTGTAAAGGGTTAATAAACATAAGAAAAAACCAAAGCAGTCACTGTTTACGAAGCATTCAACCATTCTTGAGTTTCCCCTGCAAATGTTTTTATGCACTCTCACTTTTGACTTCACGTTAGAAGAGTTCGATCAATGGAGCCTAGAATCACCTCATGCATGAAGATGTTACTGTTTTGATAAGTTTCGTCGCCAAAGAGTATTCCAATGGGGCTAGGTTCCTGATTCACTGATTCCATAGCCCTTTCCATTTATTGTTTCCACCTGAGAACAAGGAGCATGACAAATGTGAGCACTTACGGGAGAGTTAGGAAGGAATGTGTCAAGCAGTCACCTAGTGATAAATAGTCACATCACTTCTTTCGATGGTCGCCAAGCGGCTACAATTATTCTAAAAGCATTCTTAATAGTGACTTTTTTATGCGCTCACCTGTTGCACACATTATGATTTGAATGGTGTATTGAGATGTTTTCAGTTTCTATGTTATTCCGTTGGGAGGAAATGTGTACAGCCAGACCTAACTTTCACTGTCATAATGAAAATACCAACGTTTTTTACTTCCGAACTAAATGTCCGGCTTATTTTCGTTTTTTTCCAATACAGTGATAGGTACTGTTTGCTGCCTGATGAGATTCGCCCAGTCCTCTCTTACCTTATTTAATATGGTGATTTCGCCATCATAATTTGAGATTATTGTTATATACATGCGTTCTTGATCAAGTATGAGGTCAAGAGATGTGGATATTAGCGAGTTCTTTTTTTGCATATTTATGGTCTGAGACGAAGTCGAGGTCCTTAAAAACGGAATAAAAGAACGATGCTAATATCCAACCATCAGGACCTCAGGCTTGGTCAATTACGCATATATAATGATAATATCAATTTATGATGGCGAATTCATCATATAAGATTTCGCTCTATTGAGAATCAAGAATCACTTGTTTATTTCGAGAGACGGGAAAAAAAAAGCGAATTGTTTTTTTATGTTTTATTTATTATTCGAGCCTAGCCGTAGGTGGCGAGAGTCTTAATCTGCAGGCCGTTGTTTTTCGTGTTTCGTCACCAAAAGGGGGTCATGATCCCAGGCGTTCCTTGCGTAGACCTGGAGACGAGATCATGCCAACTCCTTGTTTCTCGAAATGGGAATCTGTCATCTTTTCTACGCTCAAACGAACAGACGCATTAGCCGTTTGTGGTAGATCCACTTTAAAAGATGGCAATCAGTTTTTGGAAAAGAGTGTTTAGCTATTGATATTAGAGAAGTACAGATCATCTATTTTGACAAGTTGTTGTATTACTGTTGCTTTTGTTTACTCTTCCGATGATAGCCGTTTTAAAGTCTTTGACTCTCATGCTAGAGATGTTTATAGTAAGAGTCATCCCGAAGGAACTCGTGTAAATTTACATGGAATGACTTAAATGTATGAAGTCAAAGGTTTATTTAAAGGTATTTATGGGGATAGTTTTCGCCAGGAATATTTGTTACTCCTATTACTAATAGCCAATCGGGGTGAAGATAAGACCATGCTCATTTACATATTTGATTTCATGTTTTGAAAATTGCCACCATTGACACCAATGGTGGGAAACTTGGAAGGATATTCGGATTTATTGGATGATGTTTGTGCGAATTATGATGTGCCTTCAGTTTCGCGGAAAAACTAGTTCCAAAAATAAATTAAAATAAGGAAGGTTTGACTCAAGTGTACAGCACATAGGGACATCCGAGTAATGAGCTCCAGACACTTGGCTCTAATCACAGCGAAGATACACATAACTTATTTGTATTTGTGATCTTTCTTATGACTATTGCCTTAATCGTGTTTTTTCTGAAACCGAGTAAGTCATCATTTTTAATTTTGCCATTAGGTCTCATAATCCCTAGCATTTGTCATTTCATCCACCAGTGAAAAGGAAGTCAGTAACTGGCACTCTTTTACCCTGCGCCTCATGGCTCCAATAGTCTCAATACCTACACGCATGCTACCAAGAAAATACTCGCTCCTTATCCCTTCGACACTCCTAAAGCAGGCCCGAGGTAACGCTTTCAACAGCGTCTTGTTTTGACTATCTTCTACCACTTTTCACGACTCCATCGCCGACACTTTTATGAACTTTTTTGTAAGTTGGCTCTAAGCAATTTTCTTTCTTTCGTTCTGATTGGTTACCCGAGCGGGCAAGATGGGCCCATCTTGCCCGCTTGGTAGCCAATCAGGCTACAAGGGAAGACAAATGTAATTTTCGTTGTCCTTTTTTTCGGCTTCTGGAATCCCAACTGAACCGTATGGTGAAGACCTACTACCGAGCAGACTGTTCATTGAGATTCTGATCCGATACACGAATATGACTCTGGAGAAAAAATTTTTAACTCTTGTCGCAGATAAATCGTGACAATGTTCTTTTCGATATATAAATATTGCACATTAAAATAGTATTTCTCACAAATACAGGTGCAACATATGGATAAAGACAAGAGAGAACAGCAAGACAGACTTCTTGGTCGTGACTATAACAATCGTGCAAATGAATGCTTTAATCAGGGTGATTTTAGGAAAGCTATCGAGTACCTTGAATGTTATCTTGATATTGCCAAGAAATTGGGTAACAGAGCTGGAATGGCACGTGCATATGCGAATCTCGGCAATGCTTATTTATCTCTTAGTGATACAGAGAAAGCTATCGAGTGCCTATCGTTTCAGTTAAGCTTAGCAAGAAAACTGAAAAATAAAGCTAGAGAGGGAGGAGCGCATTCCAATCTTGGTAATGCATATCTACATCAAGGTGACATTGGCACAGCTATTAAACATCACAATCAACATCTCAAAATCGTCAGGGAGTTGGCAGACAGAGCTGGTGAACGACGAGCCTATGCCAATCTTGCAAGTGCTTATGAATCGGTCAACGATTTTGAATCGTCCATACATTATCACCTCTGTCATCTTAGGGTTACTAAAGAAATGAAAGATAAAGCTGGGGAGGGCCATGTGTACGCTAACCTTGGAATCGCTTATCACAATTCGGGCAAGTTTCAAGAAGCTCTCGATTATCACAAATTGGCCTTAGACATCTCTATAGAAGATGGGGACAAAGCTGGAGAAGCGGAAGCATATTTAAATCTCGGAGATACATATACATCTCAGTGTGATTTTGAAAATGCTATTAAATGTTACCTGTGGTCTCAAGATATTACGAAAGAAATTGGAGACAGAGTTGGGGAAGGTGATGCTTATAGCAAGCTTGGCAGCGCATATTTATCTCTAGGTTACACTGCGAAAGCCATCAAATGTCATAAGCAACAACTCTCCATCGCCAAGGAACTGGGTGACAGAGCTCGAGAGGGAGGTGCATATGCTAATCTTGGCATCGCTCATAGCTCCAACTGTAATTACCACACGGCCATTGAGTACCACCAACACGATCTAAAAATTTCCGTAGAAGTGGGAAACAGAGCTGGTGAAGGACGCGCAAATGCCAATCTGGGAAATGTGTTTTTAGCTCTCTGTGATTTCAAAAAAGCGGTGGAATATCATCATAGACATCTTAGCATTTCTGAAGAAGTAGGAGACAGAACTGGGGAAGGGGTTGCATGTGAAAATCTGGGCGTTGGTTATCGTAACTTGGGTGATTTTAAAAGAGCAATCGAGTATCATGAGCGTCATCTCCACATTGCAACAAAAGTCGCAGACAAAGCTGGAAAAGGACGCGCTTATTCCAATCTCGGCCTTTCGTACTGTTATCTTTGTGATTATGAAAAAGCTATGAACTACCACGAACTACATCTTCGCATCTCCAAAGAGATTGAAGACAAATCAGGAGAAGGGACCGCCTATGGCAATATGGGAACCGTCTATCGGAATCTGGGTAAATTTGAGGACGCAAAAAACCTTCTCGAAAAGCAACTCGAGATTGCTAAACTTGTGGGAGATAGACATGAAGAGGCTAGTGCATATTCTAATCTAGGCAACGCTGTTTATTCTTTGGGTAACTTAAGAAGAGCTGTAGAATATCATGAGCAACACTTGAGAATTGTTAGGGAACTAGGCGATAAAGCTGGAATAGGACGCGCTTATGGCAATTTAGGTAATGCCTACTGTTCCCTTGGAGACTTCGAAAAAGCCGTATCAAACCATACCCTTCATCTGAAAATTGCGAAAGAAGTAGGAGACAAAGCTGGAGAAGGACGTGCGTATGCCAATCTGGGTATTGTTCGTCATAAGTTAGGTGAATATGAGTTAGCCTTAGATAACCATCATCGGCATCTTAACATTACCAAAGAGATAGGAGATAGAGCTGGAGAAGGTGGAGCATTTGCAAATCTTGGAAATGTGTTTAATTCTCTTGGTGATTTCAATAAGGCTAAGGAATACCACGAGAGACACTTGCAAATTGCTAAGGAACTAGGAGACAAACCTGCGATAGGTCAGGCATACGCCAATCTTGGTGTTGCCTATAGTAAACTTGGCGATTTCAAAAAAGCCATATGGCACCAGGAATTAGTTCTTAGTATTGCTAAGGAGGTGGGAGACAAAGTAGCAGAGGGATGCGCATATGCCAATCTCGGGAATAATCATTCTTCTCTCGGTGATTTAGAACGAGCGCTAGAATATCACAGCGTACATCTAATCATCGCCAAAGAAGTGGGAGACAAAGCTGGAGAAGGACGTGCGTATGCCAATATTGGAAATGATTATTTTAGTCTTGGTGATCGAGAACGAGCGCTACAGTATCACGAAATACATCTTAGAATTGCCAAAGAAGTGCGAGACAAAGCTGGAGAAGGATGTGCATATGCCAATCTTGGAAATAATTATTTTGCTCTCGGTGATCTAGAACGAGCGCTACAGTATCACGAAAGACATCTTAGAATTGCCAAAGAAGTGGGAGACAAAGCTGGAGAGGGAAGTGCATATGCTAACATTGGAAATGCATTTTTCTCCCTCGGTGATTATGAAAAAGCTGTCGAATATTTCCAACTGCATCTCACTTTTGCCCGCAAAGTTGGAGACGTCGTGGGAGAAGGGAGTGCATATGCAAATCTAGGCAATGCTTATGGTGTACTCGGTGACTCTCAGAAAGCTTTAACTTTCTACGAAAAACAGCTCCACATTGCGAAAGAAGTGGGTGACAAACCTTCTGAGGGGCATGCATACGCCAACCTTGGAAATGCTCATCTTAATCTTGGACAATTGTTCGAAAGTGAAAGGTGCTATGAATCCAGTGTGAGATTGTTTGATAGCATGAGAGAACTTCTTCTTCTTAAAGATGAATGGAAAATTTCCTGGCGGGATCTTCATAATAAAGTCTACACTTCCTTTTGGACAGTTCAATTAAAAGTAGGAAAAGTTAAGGAAGCTCTTTTTACAGCAGAGCAAGGACGAGCCCAAGCATTAGCAGATCTCATGAAATTACGTCATTGTATTGATAAGGTTTCTCTTGTAAAGGATATCGAGACTTGGTTCGACACAACGACAACAATTTTTATGGCCATTGGCCACAACAATGTTAACCTCTGGGTTTTGGGAGAAGGGAGAGTTGTGCAATTTGCACAAGTTGAATGTACTAAAGATTTTTTACAGAGAGTAAGTTCAGTCGATGAAACTGTTAGAAGATCTAAGGAGATCGAGGAAATTACAATAAACGGTATTGAAAGCCATTTACCAACTTATTACGAGTTTCTCATTGCTCCTATCAAAAAATATATTAGAGGCCAAGAGATAATAATTGTGCCCGATGGTAAACTCTTCTGGGTTCCTTATGCAGCACTTCGAGACCACGACAATAGGTTTTTGGGTGAATATCTCAGAATTAGACTAACACCATCGCTGACAAGTTTAAAGTTGATTGTGGATCGTCCGGAAAACTACTACTTTGACCGTGGAGCGCTGCTTGTTGGAGATCCATGGATCAGTTCTGATGAGAAGGGGAACGTTTTCTCTCCGCTCCCATATGCTAAGAAAGAAGTGGAAATGGTTGGAAGAATTCTCAACGTGACGCCTCTCACAGGAAGACTTGCAACAAAATGTGAAGTGTTGAAACGGGTCAGCTCTGTGTCCCTGATACACATTGCCGCTCATGGTTGTATTGAAACTGGTGAAATTGCGTTGTCGCCCAATCCCGAGAGACCAAGGGCGGATGTCACTGATGAAGATTTCATCCTGACAATGACAGATGTGTTACAAGCAAATATTCGAGCTAGACTAGTTGTACTAAGTTGTTGTCATGCCGGCCGAGGAGAAATTAAGGCTGAGGGTGTGGTGGGAATTGCGCGAGCTTTTTTAGGTGCTGGTGCTGCTTCTGTTTTGGTGTCCCTATGGGCCATCGACGACGAGGCCACCTTCGAACTCATGAAACCGTTTTACCAACATCTAGTTGGTGGCAAAAGTGTAAATGAATCTCTCAGTTTTGCCCAAAAGGTCTTACGAGAATCAAAGAAGTTTAGTGACTTCAAGTACTGGGCTCCTTTTGTGGTAATTGGCAACGATATGACATTGTTTAAAGGATGAGAAAAACTTCAGCTTAGTAGATACTGGCCGTGAAGTTAACCGTGGATGACTTCGTTCAGAAATTTTTCACCTCCTCAATCGACTTAGAGGCTTCAATGCAATGGCAATTTACCTTGGCGTTTTCGACGAGGTACGTGGGGTTGAACAACCATAGACTTAAAACCAGAAGAAAAGATCGTGATAATTAAGGTAAGCTCAAGAGAATAAAAAGGTAACCAAAGTATGGAATTAAAACTGACTAAATCATGAATACTTGATAATTACACACACCCACACACGCTCATACTTTGAGAGGAATTTATTTGGGCCGAGTATATGCAAGAAAAACATGAAAATACTCCTCACGGAAATTTAAGCCGAAGCATTAACATCTTGATTACAGAATTGGTTGACGTTTCCTTCTGAAAAATGGGTCTGTCATGTTTCCGAACGAAAAACTTCCAACCGATGAAAATTACAACGCCCAATGTAAGGTACGTAGAAGGCAGAGTGGAAAGTGGCACTTTATATTAAGTTAGTGGGAAATAACACTGTTTGTTCAATGAATGGCCTTTTGTTTGTTGGTCTGATTAGTATTTTGTATTTTCAGCGATTAAATCAGTCATCAATTGGTAAAAAAAAGTCAACATGGAAATTATTTGTAAATTCATCGTAGTGTTGCCACGGAGTGAAATGTGACTTTTATAGATTGATTTTTTTTGTCATGCTAGCTTACTCGTATTTGTTGTCTCCTTGATTTCTTTACGATAGCACGTTTGAATCTTACAGCGAAATTGTCAATTTCAATTTAAATTTTACTAGATTTTTGTAGGACATATTTTGAATGTTCTATTACCTTATCCTTTCCAATCTCTCGGGTGCCTGGGAAGCCACTGTTACTTGTTGTGTCACGCTGACAGAAACACTTCATTCAGCGCGAGCAGCAGTACTCTCAGTCCTTTTATATCAACAAAACCATAACTTTAGGATAAGTTCGGGTGATGGGAGAAATTGTGACCCAAGTTCATCTTAATTCTTCATAGTTTGAGCAGGGTACTCGACGTTATAACGCTTATATACAATTCTGTTTTCAGCCAATCACAGTACAATGGCCCGTGAACCTCTCATAGAACGACTGCTAAGGACTCCAGCATTCGTAATGTTGGGAGTATATGCAATACCACAGTAATACAAATGCTTTTAGTAAAACTTTTTTTAATTGATTAATTTGTTTTCTTTGTTACCAACTTCTCTTCTAAATTTCAGAACATGAATACTGGTGGATTCAGAAACAGGATGCCATCCTGTGTCAGTGAGCTATGCGGTTCTAACGGGTCAGTAACAACACTTATTTCCAGGGGTTTCAATAACCTTTTCTAAAAGCGGCTGCCGATGGTACAATTGGTGACTGTACCTGGAACAGGGGTCGTAAGGTGGAACCCAAAGTAAATGGCCTGTTTGAAGAACAAATGGCGGCAACCGGCATCAGGTGGTGGAAACGGGCATTAGGCGGTGGTAAGTGGCTTTGATTGAAACTCTTGCTAAGTGAAGACAAAGGGGTTTTTTCGTCTAATCATGAGCATGGCTTAACGAAAAAACCTTTGCATCTGTGTGAGGAATTGAGACTCGTAGACTCAGAATATTTTTGTGCCACACTCGTATCAAGAACGGCTACATGTTTTTCTCTATTTCATTTCCGAGCTCAAGAACCGTCTAGATGGTTTCTAATGGGAATTAATCATCCTTTATGGTGACCCTATTGTTTTACTTGTAAATAGGGCTTCTGTTCAAGCGTGTTCTACTATAAGCATTTCAAGGATTAGCCTTGTGATCGATATAACGCGCGCTCTGACTGACCAAAAGTAAGAGCAAATCAGGGCATTGCGCTCCCGTTTTATCCAACTGGCCGATTACGAATTGTGCAAATTAAGAAGGGAACGTGAGATCTTTCAAAATTTCTCTCACCAATCAGATCGCTGCATTTGGGTATGTATCCTGCACTAATCAGATTTTCGCAGATGGGTATGTATCTCGCACCAATTAGATTGCAGCATTATGGTGTGTATCTCGCACCAATCATTACAGCATTTGGATATCTTGCACCAATTACAGCGTTTGGGAATTGTTTTCTGGCAAATGATGTTATGGAATCAGGGGGCTGTGCACAAAGAATGACATTAACCATAAACTTTTGGCTCATTTGATAAGTATTATGGTTTGTGGCCTTATCGATAGCCTATGGAAGGTTCGCATTTAACTTTTTTGTATCATTTTTAGGTTAAAACGTGTTTTTCCGCTCCTTTACTCACAACTCACCCGCCATACTACTTACATTACATCGCGTACCATGAAAACAACGTCCAAAGTCCAATCAGAACATACCCACTCGTTGCATTACATGAACATTTGGCAATTTTTCACGTGCTGGAATTGTACTCCCATCATCAAATTCCATTTTGCCATATTGGACTTCACTCTATCGCATGTCATTTCCTTGTAAACAACCTGCGTTTGATCACTTATTTTAACCGCATTGTCCAACCCCACTGAAAAAAATCGCATGGACTAAATGCGACTAATAGTGAATTTTCCCGCCTTTTGGTTTTATCTACAAATAAAATCGGCTTTAAGCCACCTAGGACTTTATCAAATTGCGTGTTAATTCCATGGAAACAACCTGCATTTTATCATATATTTCACACACACAGGGCAAAGTCCAGGTAGGTAACAACCAATCAAAGAGCCCTCTTTGAAATGTTCTCCTTTTCTCATGTTCAATGTATCTTCACCCATTTGATTTTTATGATAAAGAACCAAAAACAATGGTGACGTCTTATATGCTCTGACTTCTAAACGTTGAGAAGCGAGAACCTATTAAAATGCTTGGTTAATTCAGTTTATCAGATGAATATATATTGAATGCTCTTCTCAGACCTAAATCCATGCCGTGGCGTTCACTGTCCATCATTTGGAGTCTGTCAGACCTACAGTGCTCATCAAGCTCGCTGTGAGTGTTTCAAAGACTGCCTGTCATATCAGGACCCGTATCAGGACCAATGGAACTACATATGACAACAAGTGCTGCCATGAATTGAACTACTGCAAGAGACTGGCGAATAATCTTGTGTATCACCCAGGAAGCTGCTATGGTAAGAGAGGAGGTTACACAAGTAATTCATTAGAAAGAGAAAACTGATTGGGACATAGAGGTTGTTAAGATTACTTGTGCTGGGTGTAGTATTATATCTCAGTTTATTTTTTTCTCAGAGGCCACGGTAACGAATCCTGCAGTCTGATTGGTTCTTTGCGCGGTCCGTATCTTCCTATCTCTGCCTAAGGGCAACGGTAACGCTTTCGTTAGTCGCCGAGTACATCCCTACCTTGGTTGCCATTTCCCTCTTAAATATATCTCGTTTTTCCTGCTGGGCAGTGTTTTTAAGCAAAGACGTCGGTCACTACCTCAAGCCAATAAATAACTTATTAATCCTCTCTTTCCTCTCACTCAAATCACTTTGGTTGACAGAAAAATATTGGTTTAGAAATTAATTTGTATAAGCAAAGATGCCATTAAATTGGTTGACAAGCGGTCTAAAAGCCGTCTTTAATCAATTCTAATCCTTCACAAAACGTACCTAGAAAGTTGAAACGTGAGGTATTGGGTCACGATTGAATTCATCGATGGAACTTTCGTTCATTTAATATCTGAATTCTCTCAAACAATTCGTTCGTAATGAAAGGGCGAGCGAACTTTTCAGCTCTACAACAAATATACGCTCTCGGTGAGTCTTTCCAAGTTCGTTCAATTTGGACATTTGACCGTAAATTGCCCAACAAAAACTGAAGGAATTCAATCTGAAAAAGCCGCATTAAATCCCCTTGTGTCTCGTTGAACTGCCTCATTCGAATTTAGTTTTTGTAGAGGAAAGACCAGATTTACTCACGCCATTGCTGCAAATAAAGGAGCAAACTCTCACAACTTCAAAACAAAAATTTGATATACTAAAAATCTCTTTCCTCGCCATTTACTTAATGAACAGAAGCAAATCTTCAAATCACTGACTGTTTTTGAAGAAATCATTGTCGTGACAGTCCTTGCCAAACTAGTTTCGTTGTTTTTTCAAACGTGCACGTGCGCTTTTTTTTTCTTACGCGCTCTCTAATTGACAGGTGCCAGATTGTGACAGATACTTGCACCTTGCTGCAGCAGAACATCTAAAGACTAGGAAAGAATATGACGCCACGCTGTTATGGACCGAGGATATAACCGAGAGCTCTGCCAAAATTTGTCTCCGCGAATTGCTGAACTTTGATGGCAAACATGAAGACACTAATGTGGTATGTGTTTATTTTTTAAAAAAATGTAAGTATAACTATTTTGAATCATGATGCTTTAGATTAGTGAGTGACACAAGCGAACACAGTAAAAAAATAAGGGTGCTAACAGGAATGGAATGTACAATCAGAATAGTGTATTCTTCGGATGCCTTTCCACTTAAAAAAACCTTGATGTAAACTCGGGTTAATAATCAATTTTTAACCAAGATTGCGTAGACCGCGCTTTGATCGAGTGTCGTAAAACCGAAAACTAAAACGACTAGTTTGAACAAAATGAAATATCTTAGAGCGAACGAAGTAATGAGAGGCAACGCATGTAATGACCTTGCTCATTTTAAGCGCCGGAAACAAGTGACCTCGTTGCGATTTGTTGAGACTTTGCTTGTGACTGGCTGAAAAAGTGGCACAAGTTCTTTTGACCAATCAGAAACCTTGTTGAGGCAAAACCAATCTTTGACACTGAATTGAAAATTTGAACCTTTAGATTTGTCTGACTTCCAATCAAAGAGCCAACAAAAGTAACCTAGTCAACGCCTTCATGTTTCTCTGTTTATTGCTTACACTTAATGCTTGCGTTGCACACACGAGCCAACCCCTATTTAATCAATTAGATTTCATTACAGCTGTGCACATCTTTTCAAATTAATTTTTTTCCAGAACTGGCCAGCATTTTCCAAATTGCACAAGCCATTCTTCGCTGAACATGGCTCTGTTTTTTTTCCAAACACAAAACCAGCAATCGATGAAAATAACAACGCTTACTGCAAGGTAGGTGAAAGGCCCCTTGGAAAGAAGTGGCAAATTTTAACTCAGCCAGGAATAGCTGGTGATAAAATCAGTTACAATTGGTGACAGTGGTGAAGATGTCATTTATTTGTTAACTGTTTCAGATGTTGCCACAGGGCATACGTTTTTCCGGTTGCTATGTATGAAATTTTCGAATTGATTACTTGATTGTAAGTAATTTGACTTGTCGACAAGGCCTGTTTTAGGCAAATTTTGAGAATAATTCTTAGACGTATAGCAACTCATCGTTATAAGTATGATGTTAAAAACGAATAAACGTTTTTTTCCTGGACTTTAATGATGTTAAGCGCATGATTATTAAAAAAAAAAACGACAAAATTGCAGATCAAGAGCTTCCACGATCTGAGTATTTTTGGATTTCCTTGCAGTTTTTACATTTCACCCGGAGTTACAATGCAACACCAGTAGTCCTTTTATCAGCCAATCACATGGAAACTCGGCACCAGTCCTCAACGGAATCACAACATGGATTGAGGTAAATCATTTCCACAGGTTCAAACATGATGTATGCAAGAGGTTTTGAACATTACAAGAGTTTCTAACGATGAATTTCCATGAAAGAATACGATTGATCCAAAAAATTGGTCGAAATTGCAGACATTCTTTGTCCTTTGGAAGTCTTCTTCCCTACAGGGGAAAATTTCCGTTTAAGGTGTATTATGTTCGTTTTCAGGGAGCGAAATATAATCATTTCAGATGGTGTGCTATTGCCGAAAATTGGTGTTTCTCAATATTACTATCAACGTTCTAATTTAAAGAAGCTTCTTCGCTGATGAGACTTGCGCTTATAGGAAATTTGAATAGTGTACTCGTAATATGGGCAAAGTTCTTTTTGACCACGAAACCCTCACCATTCACCAGCTCATATTGCCACGTTAAATCTCACAGCTGAATAAGTAGAAATATTCAGCCTGTCTTCCTCGGTATCATCACGTTCACCATATCTTTTCAAGACATGAACACAACAGGATTCAGAGAAATTGTATGAGACAAGATACAACCCCGTATCAGTGAGCTATGTGGCCCTTACGGGTTAGTGACAACACTGCAAGTCTTTAATTTTCATATGTGTTTTGTAGACGGTGTCTCGTAGCAAGCAACTAGCTCTAGTGGTTATTTATTCTTTGAGTGAAACATCGCCTTTGTGTTAATCGCATCCTGTGATCTTAAATTTTGGCAGGTATCTGTGATCCTGGATGGAATTACTTCAATGGCTACTGTTAATTTACTGGTGAAGCCTGTTAAAACTGGACCACAGCACTGTATAAATGTCGGAAAGAAAATTCCGTTCTTGTTGATATCGCTATATTACATAGCGGATTAACACAGGAGTTTTTCATAGTGGATGAACAGCCTTGCTTTTCACTAATAATTCTGTAGAGTTGTAATCGGACTGTTGCATTAGCCAATCCCTTCGAGTACACTGAAATGAATCCACCAATCACATTTGATTACTGCAGCCACAGCAATGGCATATCATCCCAAGCTGGGTATTTTCAATAGTGCAAGAGATCTCTAATGTGTTTTTGTGAGACAGTAATGATTATGTGTTTATGAATTGGAATTAGGAGCCCCTCTTTGGATAAAAACATTTTATTTTTCTCTGAAATTATAACGGTTACAATAAATTGATAACAGGCCATTGTTAAGAAGAGCGTAACTTTGCGTGACATTACCTTGCGTTATGCCTTTTCTGTGAGACAGTGAGTGACAGCTGTCAAGTGATTTTACGGATAAAAACCATGCGGGTCGCGCTGTGTCTGTTGTTGGGATTCAGGATTCGCCGGGAGTCATCGAGTGTTTTGATCATGTCTCGCCATAACATCTTTCTGTTATTATTTTTTAATAAATCGTTGTGTTGTCATCCTGGAGTTTGTTTATATCTTCGCAACAGCCATAGTCTCGTCCAATTTGGTCAGTAATCATACTCGTAGTTGTCAAATCGAACTCCCGCTTTGCGGTTGTCTGATTTTGCTAATCACTCGTATGATTACAGACCGAATAAGACTCCCCACACTCCTAATAATTATTCATCGAACACGAAAAGGAAGGGGAGAAAGAATTTGCTGCTATTCACAAATATAAAATACGAACTTTCAACTTGTGAGCCAAAGAGAAGTCGAAAGGACCAGTTTTCACACGAGTGCTTAGTGTCCGGAAATTTTTTCCGAGAAGAACTTGTTGCCTAAGCTTCTTGGTAATTTACAGAGCCTCAATTCGACACTTGCGGGTTGGAACAATTCTCGAAAATTATGAACCCCTAGAAGTAGACGTTGGTTTGCGTCAACTTTTCAGAGGAAGCTATTTTCAAACGGAAATAGTGTTCCACTGATTGAAAACTAGAGTTTGTAATCAAATAGGGTTTTCTAAAATTTGAGGTCTATTTCACGGTATTTTAAGGAGAAGCAGAAATTGCAAAGGTCTCGCGGAATTGTGACATCGCAAAAGATCTGGAAAAGGGGACAAGTAGGACAACAACCAGACGCGTCTCATACACAAAACTTTATTATCATTATTTTAAAGTTCTTGGCATGACTTGATATCAAAGCAACTTCATAATCGCGATAATATGAAAAAACATGACCTTAGTCACAAAATGTTTACATTAAACACGTTAAGGAAAGTGTATCGAATGCATGCGTAAACATTATTGTGAAATGAATGATATCTACAAGTTGAAGAACTACACCATGTTCAAAAAAGATTGCACTCCTTTTGTACAAATGAAACGGAAATTTAACTCAGTTTAATTTCACGGAGTGAGGCCCTTCAGGTAGAAGGTCCAAGTAACATTCCCAGCACCACCTGCGCTCCTCGGACACGTGACCATGAGTCTGCCCATGCGCGGAGCCTTGGAACCTCCTTGGTTTCCCTCGAAACCAACGATAATATTATGGGTCTTCTTAGCACGGACGCTCTCGCTCGCCTTCACATTAAAACACGGACTATCCAGACAGAAGGTAAATTGAGTAGTGTGTGAAAACACATTCTTAAACGGAATTGAGGTTGTTGCACTCGCTTTGATCGAGTAAGGACCCTGAGGTTTTGGAGAACTGCAGTGACCAAACAGTGGGAACACGTATTCTCCTCCTACTGGGGAGAAAACGGTCAGAGTAGCGCGAGTATCACCCAGACGGGATGGTTCATAGGTCACTTCCACACCAACCTCTGTGCCTCCACTTGACGCTGAGGCTGCCGTGATATTCTTTTCAACATGGAAATCAGTGTTGTCCACCTTAAGAGAGAGTAAACTCGATAAGTGAAAACTAGAGAAAATCATACAACACTTCCCACAATCGATTCCTCCAAGTATCAAATTTAAGGGCTACACCGAAAAAGGATTTTGATCCCTTCTTGCCTTCAACGAGAAGGAGCTGCAAAATACTCTTGAGATCAAAAAGAAAAGAAAAACAGCTGAGCGGGATGAATCAACCAAAAAGGAAGTTGGATATCGATGATGGAAAAGATTAACAAGGCAGAAATTCTCAAAATGTGGAGACCTAATAATTCCTAACCAGGTGTCACCCCTCCCCCCTCTCCTTTCACTTGTCGCGCCATTGTCTCGCTACAAACCTGCACTTGATATCATTATTATCTGTGGCTCAAAACTCCATGACAAACTGTGTAATTCAATTCCAGTGCTTTTATTCTGGTCTTCGACTTAGCTCAAAACTATTTGAACAGCAAGCAACAAAGGTGGAAGAAATGTTACTACCTTGCAGCTGTATTCGACTTTAGACTTGGCAAAGTTTACAAATCGACAGGTCTGACTTTGACTGGTACCCAGGCCTGCACGGAAATGAACAGGAGCCTCCGTCCCGGCAGGTGTTGCGGTTAGGTTGAGGTCATACTGATACACGCCTAACTCTGAACTGCTGAAGGAGAGTCGGCCTGTTAACTCACCAGCCTTCAGCGGGAGGTACTCAAACATACACGAGCCCTAGAGTGAAGAGACGAAAAGAAACTCATGATAAACTTAATCACTGCTTAAATACGGACTACCTCTAATTTTTATTTTAATTCTTCGTCAAACATGAAGGACTCTCCGGAGGTAAAAAAAAACTTTTATAATAGGGGAGACATGAAAAATAAACCTCAAAACAAAAACCCAAAAGTACGTGCAAGATAATAGTTTTGAAAAGCACAAAAGTCACTCTACGAAAGGTGACCAGAGTTAATGTAGCACCATATCTGGAATTGAAGTACAACAAGCTGTTATAATCACAAGAAACCTAGCCCATAAAGTATCTTAAAACAAGGCATGCACTAACCTCAGATAAAGGAGGAACGGTGAAACTTGGCGGCAGCTGGATGTCAGCCACAGAGCACTGAGAATTGAATGTCACAGGGGTACTGAGGGGATTGTGTAACATCACCACATGTGACGTGCTCTTACGTATGGGCGTGGACAAGTCAATGGTAGCCATTACACCAGGGGGCACTGCCTTGAAAGTCACATAATAAAACAGATATTCTCCGCCCTGTTCATTCCTGAATATTACCTGCAAGTTGAAGATCCGTAGATTAACAACAGAATCAGAGAAAAACAACGACGGAAAAATTCGAGTAACCGCAGACTTTCTATTATTGGGATAAATATTTTACCGGCCAGTCTCTCGCACTTATAGTAAATTACGGTTATCATTATAGCCTTACACTTTCTTTTAGAGTATTTCCTTGCTTTTAAAAAGTCTTTGTTCACCTCACTACAGTTAGATGCACTATTACATTGCAAAGAAAAGGTAAAGTATGAAGAAAAACTGATACTCTAGCTGGCAGCGTTAATTTGTTGCATCCATGTTTGTGAAAACTTTTCAATGAAAAAAATTGGAAGCAAATACCGTGACCTTTTACCTCATACGAATGCCGTACTTTCTACTAGATGCCCCAAAACAATTAAAAAAGTCCACGGGTTTGAAGCCATAACATTTAGTAGTAAAAAGTGACTCTAAAATTTCTTACCTTTGCACTGAACGTTCCCTCTTTGTGAGCAAAGAAGTTCAATCTGTATTCTCGTTTGGAGAGACCTGGGACATCGATGTAGTCCAGTCCCTTTAGCGTAGTAGCGCTGTCTGGTCTGTCAGGTTTCAGCATCTCTATTATCACGCGGAATCTAACGTAACAATATATGCATTGGTACTGAATTAAAATCCCACAGAACGTGAGGCATAGGTGCCGCAAAAAGCTACAACACAACTACAAATACTATTAATCCCAATAGTTTTCTCAGTACCAATTCTTTATGAAGAATGGATCAAAACAATTTCATGACAATAAAAAGAATTTCCCTTAAAAAAGAAAATGGAATTGAAGAGAGTTTCAATGACTCCAAGGCTGTCATCATATTCAATACTTGTAGGTCAGATTTTGAGGGTTGGTTATAGTGTGAAATGGGCGTGAAAGCTTTGTCATGTTTGTTTACCATACACTGTAACGTACTGCTAGGGTTAAAATGGGTAGATAAAAATTGTAAATGATTGAAATTTCAAGTTGTGTTTCTTGTTATTGATGAAGAGCTTTTAAAAGTTTAGGGAGCTAATTAAACTCGTTATAACTGGAGTTGCGCTCAGTGAAATATTCTATCAAAACAATTTCACTTCAACTGCTAATTTCTGTATCTAGCACACCTTTAGAGAATCACTAAACCTTTAAAATTACGAATTCTTTAGCTTTATCAAAAGATTCACGAAAGAAGAGAAACCGTTTCACGAACCTCTGAGGTCTTCGCAGCCAGTTGGTGACAGTGAGCATTTCAGTGTAGGACGTTTTACAAGGTACCTCTCTCTGTATGTTGTTAACCGGCTTAGGACCCTCTGCATTACCAGTCACGTTATATAGGAGACCATTGCCATCCGGGAGAGCGAAAAAAACAGAGCCCTGAAACAGAAATATGCAACCCTTAAATACTTGAATCACGTTACTCGATGAGATTTAAAAAAAGGTGCAACTTAAACATAATCCAACCAGGAGTTTTCTTCAGAAACATGAAAAAGTTCGGATTCTACCGGTGTTTTTGATAAGCATAGGTTCTGCCAGGAGCCCATGACTTGGGTTCCTGGTTCTGCCGTAAATCTAAGAGTTGTTTCTCACCCCTAGAGTGCGTCACATCACGACGCATTTTAGGCTTACAAAGATTAGGCATTTTAATGCCAAATCCTTGTTTTAAAAATCTTTGTTTTTTAAGGCCAAATCTTTGTTTTTAAAAATCAGTAAGGAAGATTGATTTTGATGGAATGGGTCAAATCCTCTAAATATCGACAAATTACTGTATTAGATAATGCATAACACTCGGTATCGTCCAAGAGTGAACAGGCTGAATGACTCGGAGAGTGATGTAGAAAAAACCATATTTTAACCCGCAATTAACAATTAAAAAGCTCTCCCTTCCTAAAATTCAGAAATTACAATCAATGCCACGCAGCGCCGACAATGTAACGCAGAGCACTGCGGTACGATGAAATAAAATGATAACGGAACTACTCATACCAAGTGTTTCTTTCCTTCCTGAGTCATAGTAAGTGGTCTGTAGGTTAACTCATAGTTTTTACTCTGTTGTGGCTCCACAGTAATGGTGTCAGGACCAGACCAGTATTCACCGTCAATCACAGGCCGCAGCATCCATAACTGGTTTGTCCGGTTATGTATGACAAGATTACGCGTGTCACGAGTGCGAACATGGGTCGCAAAGTGAAGCATCTAATAGGAAAGAGTGCAAGTTAACACAACGTTAACAATAGTAAGGGAAAGCTTTGGTCGTATGTTAGTTTCTTTATGTGTTTGAGAAAGTTGGATTATACGACACAAGGTAGTAGAAGCCCTTTTGGGCATGGTTTCATTAAGTCCCCTCCTCAGACTACGTGTGAGTTAGCTGAAGACAAGGTTTAAAAGTCCTATAGTCCCAATCCATGTCTACCCATATATCGTTGTAGGTGACAAAGGCAACACATTCTTCTTGTACATATTTTAAAGAACCTGAGTTTTGGTCAGGCCTGGCATCCCTAACCCACACAATCATCCAGTTTCCACAAATTAAGCTAACCAGGTGTCCTTTAGGTACCTGGCAAAAGATTTTAAAACGCAAGCCTTGGGTTTTCTGCTTATTCCTCAGAGCGATAGTAAAAGTAGTTTCTCTTTCATAGTAAGCTGGGGTATTTTACCTCCTTTAGGGGTGTCTGTGGGATACAGCTTCCCGTCAAAACGAGCTTCAGCGCTTTACCACCTTCAATGGCACAACGCAAACTCTGTTGAGAAAAACACACACGACGGTCAGGTATCACAGAAGTGCAAAATTATTGGTTTCTAAAAAAATGTATTGAGCTGAGTCGGCGAATTAATGAAATAATTAGTTGAAATCTAATTTGTGAGTGAGCTACAAGATTTTGAAGGTAAATGGACTGCTGAGGAGAACTTGAAAAGCTTACATATCACATGATCGCTGTTCATGGTTTATAAGTTAAATCATGGGTGTTATCATGGTTATTTAACCCTGTTCTATTCAAATCAACAAATAAATAATACGTATTTTTCATGCTTATAATTATCTGAAAGTTCGCGAACGGATGTGCTTCATACCTCGTATCTTATATCATGATTCACCACAGTGGGATGAAACACGATCTCGAAGGACACTTCCATTCCGGGTGAAATGTAACCTTTAACTGGTGAGATGGAGAAATCAGGTTGAAACTTTTCTACATTCCAAGTAAAGGCTGCTCCGATGTCTCCTGTGTTGTGCATGATCAGCTTCCTCGTGCTGCGACTGCCAAGAACTACAGCGCCAAACGGCACCGAGTCGCTGTCCAACGTGATCTCTATTCCTTGACAAGAGCCTGTTACCACAAAGATGGGCTGGGACATGCCGGCACACTCCAACATCACCTGCAGCGTGAAGAATAAATGGATATTTACTTGAAAAATCCAATGTTTTTTGAACGACGCATCGACCAATATCTTAATATCATTCTAAAGCACCAGTAGATATTCACTGTTTTCAACGGAGATGTGTTGAATTATATTCTTATCTCATGAAGCGTTTCAGTGCAAGGACAAAGGAAAATTCAAGCGGTGTTTGACTTACGTATTTAAAGACAGGAATAGATGAAACATATGATGCAGAAAGATCATTATTAATTCTGACGGATATAGTATGCTACATGAAGCAAGAAACGAAATGTGTTTTTGATCGACGCGGAATAAAGAAATAACCACAAGCCGCCGTTGGCGGAAAATAAACAGTCTACAGGCACATAACACAACGTAACAGAATAGCGTCTTTGTCAAAAGTAAAAAAAAACTATTGAGCACTTAATTTACCTCTTCAGTAAACTGTGGTATGCGTGTTTTCGGTTTGAAAGTCAGGTCCACGCCATACGTGCCGCCATTGGCCCTAAGAGTGATTTCCGTAGAGGGGCTAATAGTGAGAATGTTTGCTTGTTGAAGCGCCACTACAGCTGGTGTGATGGCTAGGGTGAACGTGATTGGTGCAGGGCTGCGGTTCACTAACTTTACACTCCGCTGATTTGTTTGGCCGACACGCAAGGCGCCAAAGTTTACTTTTCTGTCTGAAGGATTAGCGACCTCTACCTGCGAGTAATAACAAATAAGAACTGTCACGGTTTCAGCACTCCAGCCAAAATTTTTCAATTTCGTTATTTACAATTTATTTTTTTACTGTCTACATCCTTCGCAAGTTTTGTTCTTCCCTAGCTTATCAACGCCTTTTTTGTCTTTTCCTACGTTAAACCACCAATATTTTGTATTCTTATTCTTTCTCGAGTTTAAAGTAGTTTGGCAAGAGACAAAATATCAATTCAAAAGTCGTTGTGTAGTTCCTCGAGAGCCTTTTCCGTTGCTTCTTGTTTACAGTCTGGTATTACTCTTAAACTAGTTCGATTCAAAGTTCTAAGGCGTAGCAAATGTGTAGCTAGTGCCGGACAACAAGCTGTTCTGTGACCCTAGCAAGTAGTTAGAGCTTGTCTGCGGGCTTGGTGGACAAACGGTAGGAAACAAATTCCCTGATCAACGTAAAAAATAACAAATAAATTGGTGTATCAACTTTCTGGCGTATCCCTGATGCCGTGAGAAGATTTTTTACAGACCAAATTTGCAACAAAACTATTTCAGGTAACACGCTATATTCTTTACAGAGACAAAAAGGCAATGCCGAGCACTATATCGAGCAAAACAAATTACCTTCATGTCGGTTCCCTCGCCAAATATCTCGACATTCATGGTGGACAGACCGTTGATCTCAAACGGGATAACCTCGTGATATCTCCTGGCTTCCCGGGGATAAAACACAATATCTACCTGCATGGCTTGGTTTGGTATCAGGACTCCAGGTAGACAGGCGACCTCAAGGTGGGCAGTATTCTCGTATTGACACTCAATACTGAAAAGTATAGTAAGGTGTTACAGACATGAATTACGTGGTTCGAGTTAAATCGTATTTTCCAAGAATAGTCAGATACCATGTTCGCAAACATTCTTTGGATGAACACTGAGTAAAATCTGCAGCGTCTGTTTATTATCAAGTGGGATGTTTCTACAGCTTCTTCGAATTAGAAAGAGTGAACTGAAGGGAATCAGAATCCCTCCCATATTCTTAAATAAAATGGGGCTTCCAGGCAGTTTACCCACTGTTGTCAATCACTTTCACGAAAATAGTGAAATTAAAACCTGGTAAAAGGTAGACAGAAAAAGCAACAAACTCTAATTCAAGATCATTTGCGCAACTATTCCTTAAATTAATCTGCTAAGTTGATTCTTGTGAAGTCACACTGGACTCAAAGGCAAATGTGAAATGTAACAATAGTTGTGAAACAGATCAACACATTACCTGATATCTTTTGTATCTTCGTTCTTAATGATCAACGTAGTCCGTTTCCGAGGCATACCAGCACGGTACAGGAAACACGGACCAAAGTCATGCCTCACAAAAGAGAAGTTGAGTCCAGGCTGTATACCCGTCCCTGTTAGATTTATGGTGAACGTTGGGCCATTGGTGATCTACAGACAAGCACACAAAGAAAAGTTATCTGCATGTAAGAATGCAGTTAAGAGAAGCTGTATATAGTTCAGAGATGAAACTTTAACTCCCACAGATGAAACACAAATTTCCATGAAGCACTATAAATTCAATTCAACACAAAGTCAAATCAGAACAATTTTCACATTTCTGTCGTAAAATGATTCGATATCACTTATCCAGAAAGATTGCCTGATGCATTTGGCAAAGCCATAGCTTAGTTCAAAGGTAAACCCGAAACAGCAATGTCTCCAGCAAGGAGCAAACCTACATTCACAACATGCCTTTCTACAAACTGCCAAAAGTGAATCACCAATACCTTTAACAGTAGATCGCATCCTGTCAGTGAAAGTCTCCCAGGTGGACAGAAAGCTAACTGACATCTCTTACGAGTATTACATGGCACCGTCCCACTTTCAGGAGTCACTGATACAAGCTTCTCCCCATCGAGAACCCTGAGGCCCTTAAGCTTAGTCCGGTTATGGATCTCCCACGAAAAGTCAAAATTAAATTTCCCTGAGTTGATGACAAACAACTGTCGGGTGGCTTTTTCGTTGATTTCAACCTTAAACGAGAGTAAAAAAGAACAAATTCATTTTATTATTAGCTACCGACTTCTTTAAGGAGCCAGCTGATGGTTTGTGCAACCTACAAAGATAAATCGTTACTAGCAATCTGTTCAAACCATCTTCAGCCACCCTCTTTTATTTTTTTGCGGTTTCTTTTTTAACCAAATCAATACTTATACCCTCGAGTCTCCTTTAAATTGATGGTAGTCATATATTAATATAGCGAGAGAGTAGTGCCACTTAAGATCCGTTAAAAGGATGGTGTAAGATTCATATTGTACTGATAAGTGCAATGAAGTTAATTTCATTGCTATAACCAGCTCTTAGATTCTAACAAGGTTTGAAATGTTTTGACCTGATGATATAACAGTAAAAAAGAGAGCGAACGAAAAGGAGAAAGACAACAAAAGAGTGCATCGACCAGTGTAATCACCTTCAAACGATCAGCGAAGCACTTGGCGTAGTTATTGCACCCCGAAATTTCCCACTTGTATCCTCAACTCAAATAATCAGCTCTTTCTACTGATATGAATAATAAGTCGAAGGCTATTCCGGCTTCAAAAGCAAACAGATATTTAACGTTTCGTTTTAAAATATATTTTGCCAGTTATGTTTTTCTTTACAAAACTAACCATTCCTAAGTTGATTCTGTTTGTTCCTTTAGATGTAAGCTCCACTTTGTTTCCCTGTGAATCTTCGCAAACAAGCTGCGCATTCATGGCATACCCCTCTGCCTTCACATTCAAGGTTAGAGGAGATGTTTTCTTTTTCACATGACACAGAACATTGAAGTTTACTTCCTTCTGTTCAGTTGCTGTAAAGGAGATTTCGATTGGTAGCCTGAAAAAATATGCAACAGCACTGAGTGAATGTTTGAGGTGTAAACACAACTGTTTGTATACTACACATTGTCAATAGCCAATCATAAGACATTTTGATCCTTTGACCCCCCATAGTACTTAATTTCTTCTTACAATATCACCCCTGGATAACTTAAATTTACGAGAATACAGGAAATGATCATAAACTTAAGAAGCTTCAGATTGATAAACAAATTTTCCTTGTCAGCTTCACAAGAAATGTAGAAGACCAGTGAAGCGGAGTATACATATCAATGTTAAGGTACAAAGTGTTAAAACCGCAACCCAGTATGAGAAGAACGAATTCAAGCCAAGTCAAAGCGCACACACTTTTTTTCGGGCATTACTTCTTCACACTCTTACACTGTCCTTTGCATGCGAGGATAACTGCGTCACTCAGTCACCGGTTAGGGCAAATATGATTTACTCCATGCACTATTTGTAATCTAATTCATTAAGATGAGAAGACATTTCATACCTGGCCTTGGGTAGGACTGTTCCAGACATGGGCTCCACAGACAGACTAGACGCATATCCTTCTGTGTGACAAGACGATTCGCTGAATGAAAAAGTGAATGGGATGTTCTCCTCGTTCACTAACTGTACAGTTTCTTTTGCCGGGTGACCTGAAACAGCAAAGCATGATACAAAATTTACTTTAACGTAAATAGACTCCAGCTTGTTGCAACGACACAACAATGTAATACGAGTCGAGAATTTTTCTTTTTCTCGTTCCTTACCCAATAAAGTTTTTGTACTTTCCGTGGTTCAATTTCATCTCGTCATATAATTTACACTATTCTTTCACAGAGATTCCAAGTTTAAGTCTCCATAAACTAAAAATTGTTCGGAGATGGTCACGATATTTCACTAATAGTACAGTTGTAAGTGATGATATCATAGATGTGATCAATTACAGCCACGAGCTGAGTCACAAGTTGTTCATGTTGTAAAACTTCGTGAAAATTTTTCTAGCTCGTCAACTGCAATCTGGTTTAATCTTCTTCGCCCATCGCCATTATTGTATCCTCTGAGTTTATTATGGCCTCCTTCATGTTTTCCAACCTTACTGTGCTAATATCTTCTAATCTCTTTCTCTCTGAACATATTTAAACACTTCGCAAAATGACAAAAAAATCACAATCATGAGAAACGCCATACTCACCAAGCAGCATTTCCCTGAAGTTTATGTGAGACCTGTCAAATGACAGCGCGGGCTCAAATGTATGCCCCACCATAACAAATGGAATGGAGAAGCTGTATTCAGGCACAAAGAACCGCCAAAATGATTCAACCAGGTCCAGCGAGTCTGATACGTACTCAAACACCATCTCGTACTTCTTCCCACTCAGTATGGTCCCCTCGGGAGTCAGGCACCGGAAATTGACCGTTTCTGGGGGCGCGCCATCCAGTGTGTCCTCACTGGTCCACACAAAACTGTAGCTTGTGTTGGATGGGTTTATGACGCTAAAACGTCTATGGGAACATATCAATTATTAGTAGACACACACCAACTGATCCTGACTGTGTCTTACACGCATTTCGCAGATAGTTTTGACCAAGTTTCCTCTTTCGGCTTCCGAACATAATAACATGGGATTTGACCAATTTTAGGCCGTAAAATTTGGATTCAAGTAACCGGAATTGGGATTTTGACACGTACTTGAATCAATATAATTGAGAATTGGGCAAAGACTAAATTTGACTCTGAGGACAGATTTAAATTTAAGCATTAAAGAATTGAATTTTTAACCCCTCCAAGGTTTGAAAACAAGTCCAGAAAAGGTCTCATGTTTGGAAGTTCTATTCTTAAATCTAAATTTTTTATCATCAGGCTTTGAAGTGCGATAACATATTGAAGGAAATATTAGTTAGTTTGTTATATTTTTTTACTTTGTCGCAGGTTAATGAAAATTTCAATGGTAACTTACTTTATGTTTTTAACTTTAACTCCGCACGACTTGAACTCGATAACTTTCGTGGTGGGATCTAAGGTAGATCCGGGGGGAGCCCCACCAGGACCTCTTAACTCGGGGTTCCTTCTCCCCCCGGAAACATAATCTGACTCCTCCAATTCAAAGTGACAATAAGGAAGAAGGCTCCTTCCACGAACGGGAATGGAGAAGCCGCCTGTGTCTGGCGGGAGATTGTTGGCACTGCAAAGATGAAAATATTAAAGAGAAACTTGTTATTACATTGAGTTACTCTGACGTCATACGTGGGTTAAGTTTTTCGCTGATTCTAATGTCCCGTCCCCCCTTTACATCAAACAAAAATTTGGCATGCGTGCCAACAAACAAGTTCTTAAAATAAATAGCATTGCGGAGAGGAACAAATATTCACAGATCATGTTACCATTTAAACGAATTGCATGTTTTCGTTGATGCGAGTTTGTATGTTACTTTTTCTTTTTTCAAAAACGTCGGGATGTTTTTTTTTCCTTAAGAGAGTTTTCTTGCTTGTTTGTTTATTTTTTGATGAGTCTGTGTGCTACAGCATCGCACCACAGTATTACCTGAAGGTCACCAGAGCATCATACTCGGACACATCTAACGGTGAGAACTTCACAACAAAGCTACCCTTCTTCCCTGCAGGGATGCTTCCACTTTCTGGCTCAATCACAAAAGGGAACACATCGCTTCCTCCTTCGCTCACTACACTGCCTGCCTCGTAGGCAAGAGCCAGGGCGCTTGACGGCCGCCCACCCATGGAGGACCCAGGTCTTTGAGTGGTTGGAGGTACACGTCTAGGAGGGTGCACTGATGAGCCCCCTGTTGAAGTGGAGGGGCGAACGGTTCGCTGACCGGTGGATTGTCCAGCGGAGCTTTCGGGTCTCTCGGGTCCTACCTCGGGCGGCTCGGCTAGGCTGACAGTCTTTGGTTTTTCCACTGGCTGAAAATGCCACTTGTAATCGAGCTGCACATCACCTTTGTTTGAGACTGTAAAACTGGAGAAGATATTTTTTCTTTACCTTTACAGCAAGTTTTTTTATAAGTGGAAAAGCTTTTTCTTAGTTAGGTATCAAAGAAATGAGTTACTAACTTCACATCTAGAACACTTCACCATGAACGGTACGAAAACACACCCAATAGAATCTAAAGATTGTGTCTGAAAAACATTACAAGGAAGGTGTGTTTCACGGAGATGATCTACAAATACCTCACAGCTCACCTGTACACACGAGACTGAAACATCAGTGTATCTTTGAAGTGTATGTTCTCGACTTTACAGCGGTATTTAGCAAAGTCACACACAGCAGTAAGCAACAATTCCACGTCTTTGGTGCTGTTTTCTAGCGCTGTATATGGAGGCTCAGCTTCAACTTCAATGACTTTCTTCTTAGAAGGCCGGGGGGACTTCCTCACGCCAGTGGAAGGGTCTTCACCAGGTGCCACGTCTATCCACTTTACAGTGCGCATGCGATCGTCCCAGTCCACCGCCTAAAGAAAAGGAAATTAAGTAAGCAACTCAAACGCACTCTGTTACATTGATGAACATCCAAACAACAAATTGTCGGGAAAAAATCAAATATCAAGTCAACTCCACATCCCTTTGCTTTTTTTCGGCATGGTTTAGACTGGTAATAAGTTAAAAATAACAATTAAATTAAATTCGAAGATCATGAAGATAATCAAGTCATCAAATCTATTGAGTGTCGCTGAGGCTTAAAGCTGCCACTTACAAAATGGTTTGATCATCATAAAACATCTTAAAACTAACATTGTCGAAGAGCAGCACCATCATCTTTCGCTCTCTTTTATTCTTAATTTTGTTCTGTCGAAGACAAAGCCACGAATCTTTCCACAAAATTAAATGAGATCACCGAAATTTGTGACGAATTCTACCTTCTACAAAGAGCCTAAAATGACATTTAGATAATTTACACGTTTTACCATACAATCCATTTTTTCTATTTTAAGACGTACTTTATCCTGCGCCTCTCCTAGCTTGATCTTAGTGACTTTACAAGGAATGTTTGTCGCTGAATATGTCTTTGGCTCGTTAGAACAGAAGGTTACTGTGACATCCTTTGCACAGTTTGGCTGTAAGTGTCCTGTGCACGGAGAAAATGTCACCTCAGGCGGCGGGGACCAAGTGAAGCGCACTGGGTCCGAGGAAGAATGGTTTGTCAGTGTGAATGACAGCTGTTTGGACACACCCACGGCACAATCCCCAAATTTGACGTGGTTTTCTCGTGATGCTACGAATAATACAAATGAAAGAAGGAAACGTAACTAAAAGGATAATAGTACCTTTCGTAGGCCGTATCTATGCAACACGCGTCATAAAAAGTTCAAAAACGTCAACAACAAAGATAATACTAGTGATGACCAGCGTTTGATGAATGTTTAAGGTCTGCGACATGAATTTCAAGGCTAATCACACGTTTTAAGAGCACTGTTTCTTCTGAAACCACAAAGTAAGAAGCGAATCAAGTTTTACAACTAAAAACGAAAAGCTATCAGCTCATTTCCCAATAATACCTGGAGTGTCGTCGTCGATCTCCGTCTCAGCCGCCAGTTCCTCAGTCTGAACAAAAGACCGTATATTATCTATGGTCACTTCATCTTCATAACCTTCTCCAATTAGTTGAACTGTACTTTCTTCATAAGGATTATCCATTAATGACAGCCTAATCTCGCCCAGCGAACGCCCCACCAGGGAGGGGTTGAACTCGATCGCAAAATCTGCCGTCTTACCCATGGGGACCACCACAGACAAGGTGTGAACTCGCGACTTCGGATCTACGTCGTCTTCACCGTCGTCAAGTGGCTTCATAGCTTTGGTACCTTCCACACATGAAATCTTGTACACACCTTCGGGGTCTTTCAAATCGATATTCGCTCGGGCCATCAATGTGCCTTCGTTCTTTAGCGAGAGCGAGAGCACTTGAGTACGTCCCAGTAAAAGGCGTCGGAACAAAAGGACTGGAGCACCTTTCTTGTTTCGAGCAGTGGGTCGAACCACGGTGATTCTAGGAAGGTTTCCTTCACCCTGGATGTCGAACGTTAGGTTGCGGTACTTTGACATAGCGCTAGGCATCCCATCTACGGCTGCTTCAAGAGTAGCGTTGTAGGTTTGCATGGACGGAGGACTGAAGGTCACAGTCGCGTACACATAGCTGTGAGCTGGGATCGAGGCACGCTGGGGTTCAATCTCATAGACGTCGTGCCAACGAGCAGATGGTTTCATGGACTGCGGTTTCACGGAGAGAACCAAGTCGCATGGCACCTGAAGTGTTGAGAAAATAAACATCACACCGCTCGTCATTAAAAGTTAAGGAACTTAATTCTCCTAAAAAGGATGTTCAAAAACGACCTTAAAGCTATCGCTTGAAGCGAGAATTAACTTGGACTCACGTTATGGCTTGAGTAATGGAGGGTTTCAGGCAAATGAGATGTGCATGCCAAGATTTCAAAACGATTAAACAAAGAAAGTTTTGAAATGTTGCAAGAAATAACAATAATCGAAGCATAGTAGCATTAAAGACCTTCTCAAAAACAAAAATATTAACGACGACCAAAGGTAAACAACACTCAAACTCGGAAAGACATACGTTACCAACTAAGATTGATTTCACTTTTTGTATCTGATTGGTAAGGAAATTGGTCTCACTTTCCTAGAGCAATCAAAAAGCACAATGAGGTAAAACCACTGCAAACCACGATCACTTTCCACGTACCTTGTTCGGATTACCAATTCTAAACCTCGCTTTGGCTTTTCGTCCAACAATAGTGTTGTAAAATATAAACTTGTTCTCGTCCTCTCCATACACTCCAGAGCCACTCGCGAGGTCGTGCGTCAGGTACTGGAATAAATTCAATTGTTTGACGATTAAGTGTTCTTCGAATATAGAGCCAACTGTGTCTGGGGCGATTGTGGTGATCCCGGGAATGCATGCTTCTCCAATCAGTTTATAAGGTATTCCCTGTGGTTGGTCGGACGGCGGGCGGTCTGAGATGTCAATGGCAATGTCCTGAAATAAAAAAAAGACAAACCGTTGGGGGAAATAAACTTTGTGAGAATATGAAATCGATTCTACAAGAAGCTGTAAAGGCAAATTCCTGTCCCCGTGCAAAACTAGCAGCCGTTGGCTTGACGTTCAAGTGAGTGCAGAAAGTTATCGACAAACTGACGCACAATCAAGTGCTTACGTCACAATTGACTTCGTTTAAAATCCGTCGCGCTCGCGCAAAACAAATGACGTAATGGAGACATCTCAAGACACTGCGCGCGCGTGGGGAAAAATCTTACCAACCTCTTCTGAGAAGCCTGGATTTTCAGCGATCATATCCACCGTTACTTGCACAGAACTACCGGCCTGCACGCTCCCGACAGCTGGGTAGACTGTAAACATTCCAAGCTGAAGGCGAATGTTTGGTGCCCCTGTGGTCAACTCGGCTCTGAGGAAAAAAAAAAAGAGAAAACAGCATTTATTTCAACACTGCGCGGACAGGGATTGTAAACTGAAAAGTGTAATGCAGAAAACAGTAGAAGGTCACAGATGCTCAACTGGTAGAATGAATACATACAGTTTATCAAACGACTTCCTTATGCAATTTGGTTCCGAGTGCTCATTCATATCAAATAACAATGAAATTACTTGGCTTCTTTTGAATAATTTACAGTATATCTCAACATCCTGCATCGATTTAATATTTTTGTGCAGGTTGCGGTGGAACGACGTGTTGTCAGGCAATGAGCATGCTGAAATTCATGCTTGTGTACTGTCATATAAGTAATCTTACATACCCTCGTACTGAATCTGCTCTCTTTGGTTTAGACGGTTTGTCTTGTTGAGATCTTCCCGAACTCGACCCATCACGCGATTTGGCCCTTTTCGCGGGTAGCCCCAGTTTCTGGCGTCCTTGTGCCACCGTGTTGATCATCTTTAGGACTGAGTAACGGAATTCAAACTCTCCCTTGTTCTCGATAGTGAACACCCGGGTTTTCTTAGTGTTGATTAGCATGGCTCCAAAGTTAATGTCACTGACCGGCGATACGGCGTACTTGCTGTAGACAGAGCGCACGCTAAGTTTTATGGGAATGCTGGCGATCACCTCGCCACCTTCGCCAAGGTGAGGCTCTACGATCTGAAAGAACCAATGAAGATATGGATAGAAAAGTCAATTATATCAATCTGACAGATAAAGGGAGGCGATTGGAATTGAATGGTGAGTTTTTGAAATGTTTTAAAATTTTCTTTAAGAATAAAATAAGCGAAATCACACAAGGTTTTGTTATAATTTCGAATCAAGTGAATACCGAAACGCTGTGTGATCTCGCTAAATTTTATTATTACAAGTGAGATGTTTATCGAAAAGAAGCTAACGAAAATATTGAGTTTCAAATCATATAAGTGAACAAAACAAAAACAAACGAAAAAAGAAAATTGCTTTTAGTAAAGACACAACCGCCCAAAGCTCCGTTTCCCCCATTTCTAGGCTAAACTAATAACGCAAAACTAAAATATAATGCCATTCCTCTCAAGAACTCTTTTTAGCTTTAGGTTTTGTTTTGATTGTTTGACTTTTTAAAAGAACGATAACTGTGCTTGGTATTATAACTATTGGGGAGGCAGGAGTAATTCATTAAAGACGGGGGCATAAGAAGGTCCAAGCCATGAAATATCTACAATATCGTTCAACGATAAGCGAAAACATTGTTTACCTGGCATTTGAGTACAGGCTGGTCTTTAATAGTAATCTCGCTCTTGGACCTGAAGATGACCTGTACTTGAGTGGGTCGATCGGTAGGTAGTAGGGGACCCTTGTTGGGTATCACTGTAAACAGCTGTGCTACGTCTGCTGGCGAACCTTCTGTTGGCTCATACGCGAAATTGAAGTTGATTTCAAACTTGCCTTTGTTCTTTAGAGAACAAGTCTGCTTTGTTTCATCCAAAACTTTGAGAACACCAAAGTCAAGACCGCCGTCTGCACCTGAAAAGACAACGTAAAGCAAAATTTTTTTGAGAACGAATATGAAATGAAGGTCACAAGGCGAAGACATTCCAGTAAATACAATTTCTTTAATGTTTTCTTTTCCCGACCGTTACGCTTAGCCCTTTAACCCCTAAGAGTGAATAGCATCTAGTTTCTCTTGACAATATCCCCCCTGAGTAACACATTAAGGTTACGAGAATAAAGGAAATGATCACCAAAAGAAAAAATTATGGATTGTTGAATAAATTCTCCTTGTCAGCTCCTTGGGAAATGTATGGAGAACAGTATGAAGAATATAAATACTGATGTTTGGGTGTAAAGGGTTAAGACAGTCCTCGGTTGAATATTTTGACACTTCTTAAAATGAAATATTCACGGGTATTCCTTTGGGTTTCGTTTCGTGACAGTCTATCGTCATTATTACTTTACTGCCCATATGAAAACACAGGTAAACGTTTCCCCATACATGTCCTTGTCAACCTACGTACCTTTAGGGAAACTCATATCTAGAGCGACATCATAAGACTCTGCATGAACTTGAATGTTTTCTGCCTGCACCAAGCCCATGATCTGTTCTACATCAGAAACCTTTGAAATACAAAACATTTTAGTTCATAAAAATGCACTAAAACCTCAGTAACTACAGCTACAGCGAAGAACTGGCCTACGGGCTGCAAGCAGGGACTGGCTTTGATGGAAACTAGTACTGAGCGTGATTGACAGGTGATTCTTGTGGAGAGTAAGTATGTGGAGAGAGTTACTGTTGTTTTCGTGAGCACTAGAATGCGTAAGTAATAGAATAAACGGTGATAAACTAGTTTTTTTTCTGTTATGGAGATATTTTAACGGGAGCATTTCCAAAAGCTTAACGTCCCATCCAGGTGGAGGGGCATACTCCTAGTCACCTCGAGCCATAGAGTCCGGAATAAGCTCTAGCAGACCTCTACTCTTACCTCATTCAAGTCAAGTATATCTTCGTTTATCAACATCAAATTAAATCATCACACTTCTTCGGATTTATCTAAAATATTATCGAATTGAAGACTTACAGTTACGCGTGCCAAAGGCTCACTTCCTGAAAGTTTTCAATTTGTAATTAGAATGTTACGTACCTCCAGCCTCACAATCTTTTTTACGTTGGTTGGCCGAACAGCTCTGAAGTGCATCTGAAGAGCAAACTCTGATTTAGCATCGATCATGCCATGTTCAGTAGTCAACGAAAAGTCATCACCCAGATTGTCCATCCCATTCACTCGCCAAGCCACAGGTAGCAGAGTGCTGTTACGAAGGAAGATCGTTTTTGTGTCTTTCCTGAAAATAGAACAACGAAAAAAGAGTTATTAAGCATGTTTTCATTGCTGCATGCGGGGGTCCTAAAGAGCGCGCGGAGGATGAGTGAGTGAGTAATTCAGTTTGTTTTAGTCTGACTAATTCTCATATTCATCTTTGAGCAAGGAGGGGAGCGCTCAGACAATGGAGTCAAAACCCTCAAACACAACAAAGCAGGGCACAAATTCTAAACGCTAGTTCCAAAAACCACAAAATATAATTTGGGCACTCGTGCTTCCCTTTCAACCACGTTTTGCTAAAATAATCGCAAAAAGCATTTCAATAACTGCATGAGTATTATGTAAAGTAATTATGTAATTCCTAACAACTCAGTTAACAAGGGCAACACAACAATGGTCACAGCACAGACTCACAAACCGAGGACTATTTCGCCTTTGAAATTGCGCCGACTCGTTCAGCAAATATTACTTTAAATCGATTTGACTTTGCTAAAACATTTTTTAGTTGTTTCATGTAGGGTAAAAAAGGTGGGTAAACATGTACTAAACTGTGAAGCGCCATCATTTTTTAAACAGACCTGTGTAGTAAAACTCTATCAAACTGCAGCTGTCTCCGATCCAACTCCAGCTCGGGCCGAACACCATGACAGGAAATCTTAAACACAACCGGCTCAGGATTCTCTCGAATACAGCACACCACAGCATCTTCGAAGAAGCCTGGTGTCTTGGGATATGCCCACAGAGTGAGGTCCTACAACAGCAACAATAATTCTTACTATTTACAGACGTTGAGCATTGACTAGTAGCAGTAAGTGATCTCGCACCGTTCAGTGAACTCTCTTCGCACAGACATTACCATGGTTTGAAGCTTGGGTTAGCACCACATTAACCTTCTATTTGATACCATTATTGGCGAAAAGGATCGGTTTTTTGTTTATAATTGTGCCGCTTACTATTGCCTTTCGTGACAGGTATTTAAAACGCCTGCGTCTGTAAGGTGCACAATAGGAAACTTTTGTAATTCCTCAACAACTCTTCACTGAGAACATTTATGAGAAGAACTTTGTGTGACGGCGTGACTTGCTATGTTACAGCTTTTAAGAATGTGTGACTTTTATTTCCGTTTCGTAATTAGGTTATTAGTTATCTTGGATTTCTCGACTTTCGAATCAATTGAATAAAATCTTTGTCCGGACGGGGGTTTTCTCGGGCATCGCCATGACAAGGTCAGGAGGTTTTTACGCTACAATAAATTTCTTGTTTATTCAACTTGCGAATCTTCAGTGTCTCTAGGAAACAGGACCAAATATTCCCCACATTTACGAGTGTACTTCCTCTTCAGTGAGCCTTGAAAGAATTCAAGGACAAAAATGGCAAAGCCTGGTTTCCTTCCACTTAAAAAATCAGGATCTATATCCAAGGAGTCTTGTCCTTATCCCTTTTTCCTTTTCTATAGGAAATTATTTCATGTTATCCTACCTGACTCTCGCCTGGCTTCAACTTCATGTTGGGCGGATCAATAATGAAGGTAACCGCTGTGCTATCCTGCTGGAAACAGAAGTTGACATCTGCTTCCAATGGAGAGGTGTTGCAAATCACAATCTTTTCCATATTCTCTGGATACTTGCCTTCCTTGTACCGGTCTCGAGTCTTTCCTGTCATGCAATACATGAAGATTATTTGCAGATAAATGGCTTTAAAAGCAAGAAGCCAGCACTAATGGAATTTAACGTCAATTCCTCAAGTAGAATCTCGGTTGTAGAGTGATTCCATTTAAATAGGCAACCTCAAGGTTAGAACATTACCACGTATAAAAAGATATTCCAGAATTCTAGAAGACAAGACGCTTCAAGATGTGAATAAAGTGACAAAAGGAATTTTTTGACTCAACTTATTTTTACCACAACTTATGAAAAAGGCCAAAGCACTCAGACTTACCACAAAGCAATGGACCAAATTCAAAAGTCTCACTGCTTAGAACGTATTTCTTATGCACGATCTCTTCCGGTTTGCGGTACTTCCGGCGGTGAGGGAACACCACTCGCGGCTCGCGACTGATGGCGGGAAAAGCGCAGACGCCGCGGCAAAACAGCTGATAACGACGGCGCGTCCCCATGATCTCAAAGTTCAATGTCTGGTCAAACTGACCCAGCTCCTCGGACCGAAAACGAATGCGCAACCTCACTGTATCATTGGCAGGAATGACCCAGCGGTGGCTGACGAGTTGAGGGGTGCTGGGCACCGCTGCAGTTTCACTGTAAGAGGAAGAAACAGAAAGTCGGGTTGGAAATTCATTACTTAAGTATTAAAGCAATTTGGTACCAGCATAGTCAACAAGCTACGCTTTAACAAAATAGTTTGCTACAAAACTAACCTCTTGTCTTCTTCTGCAGGGGTGATACTGGGGGGAGGTGAGGGAGCCCCGTGTGCTGCTTTTCCCTTCCGGGCGGAACTTCCTCTCTCCTTTCTGGACTTTGTACCTCCCTCTCTATCATCCTTGTCTTTGCGGCCCTTGCGTCCATGTTCCTACCGTTAGAGGAGCGAACAGTATTGTGAACAAATCAGTGTTAGATGATGGAAATAAAAGCTAATGATCACTGATACGTAAATTTGTAATCTATCGAGGCAAGAAGCGGGTTATGAGCCATTTGCGTTTCTATGAACCGGAACCTTTTCTAAATGAATGTAAAACGGCAATCGCGTATTTTTAAGTTAGACGTTTTCGGAAAGTTTTATCACACAACTGAAAAACTCACTGGGAGCAACTTGTCAAAGGAAAACAAATGCAATTTTGCTTCATCTTAGTCATTTTTTCACAGAGAGTTAAACATACAATTCGTACTCGAATCCACTTTATCTGCTTTGCGATCTAATTTATGGATCATGGGCTATAAGTAATAATAACAACAACAAAAAAACAACAATACTTTATTTAAGCACACCCCTCCGAGGAGCACTAGGCTCGTTTGAACGTGTACGTGAAAAGATCAATAAATATTAAATAACAGTAAACATAATAACAATAATAATAACAGTAATCATAACAATCAAAGTGAAATTATAATAATAGTAATAACAACAACAACAACAACAACAACAATAATAATAATAATAATAATAATAATAATAATAATAACAACGCACTAACCGGTGGTTTCTCAGGTGTTTTCTCCACTTCTGGTTCAGCTTCTTTCGTCTTATCTTCCTGAGGGGCATTAGGATCATCTGGCCCCGACGCCACGAACACATAATGAGAAGGGGGATCTAATCCCAGGGGTGGACGTCTCCGTACGGGATACGGCACTACAGCAAAAGTGGCCGGGGGTGGGATAGGAGGACCATGGGGTCCTAGACCCAGACCGTCCATTACCTAAAATGGGTACAGTCACATGATCACTGAGGAGGACACAAAAACCAATAGAAGTACCTATTTACTCCGAATGTTCCCTTTTTCTCCTTTTTTCCCTTTCCGACTAGGATACTATTACGTCGACTTCTCGTTTCCCTGTTGTGCACTCCCGTCGAAGACAAAAATGAAGAAGAATGGGCCATTATTGCAGGTTAAATGTTTGGTTGCGTGACTCAATACGAAATTTTTTCGTATTTAGTTGAAGAATTGGCTTTCTGATAACTTCACCAAACTTGAAAAACCAGTTCAACTAAACGCGCCGGTGAACGCAAATGTAGTGTTGCTGTGGCCAATAGAAATTACGCGAGAAATAGAGATTTTTAATGTAACACAACGTACGATCTATTGTGAACAGAGGAGCAAAGGTGACAAAGCGTGAATAAAGCGACAGCAAAACTTTTGCAAGTTCCACTGTGTGCATAAGTGTGCGAACGAACACCAAGTAATCTTAACCAATCCTTATTGGGATACCTCTTCAACCGTTGGCAAAATTCCTTTCGCTAGTGTCTGTTCAGCCTGTGACTCTGTTGGGTTTCCTGTGTCCACAATAAGCTGTGGTACACCCACCCCGTCCTTTTTACCGCCATCTTCGTCATCATCATGATCACCGCTGACCGCTGACATCGGAGAGTCAGAAATCTGACGGCAAAGCAACATGTAGAAGTCAAGATTAAGACAAATCTGTTTTAGATGAAAAGGCCTTGCGCGAAAATATGCTGGGAACAGCAGCATCGAGTTGGTTAAATGAAACTCTCAATAGTTTTCTTACTAGACGAAAAAAAAGGAAATCAGTTGGCTTACCGTTGGATCCATCAAGATTACAACATGTGTCAGACGATTACAAGTAAACCATCTTCCCTCTAAACGACTTTCTTTAGCAAGCTCATGGTATTCCAACATTCATACACAAACAGAGCAGCACGAAATTTGAAAAAACGTACATTTTCCATGCGATTTAAGAGAAGATAGTTAGTTAGTTGGTTCGCAGTTTTACCAGAAACCCAACCGCGTAATCATCACCCGGCAGTTCTTTCCTCAACAGTTTTATCCAAAATGTACCGTGAAATTCCAAATGATTTTTTTTACGTTGTATTGAGTCTGGGAGAGTTTTCCCTTCTATTTACCCTTTGATTCCCATGAGTGACCAAGAAAGAATTTCTCCTTACGATATCAATATAACGTCAGGCAGACAAGTGATGAGAATAAAGAAAAACATCAATCAGGGGATTATCAGTTGATCTTATACCAAATTCTCCAAACCAGCTCCGTAAGAATTTTATCGCAGATAGTAGGAAGAATTACCAATGAGATCTTGGGAGTGAAATGTTAAGGACTAAGATTCAGATCACCTAGCTTGTATATATCACACACCTCCTTAGCTTTTTCTTTTTCTCTCTCCTTCTCTCGTTCTCTAAGTTCTTTCTCTTTCTTGTCTCGACCTCGCCTGGTCGATCCAGGCGCCGGAAGAAAGTCCTCAAAGTTCTCAGACTTGGGAGTGTCTGCACGCGCCACAGTGCCGGTAGATCGATCCCAGTTTTGCAGCAAGCCATCAATGTCTCGGAAACTGGTCTCGAATGCATTAAATCTACGACACCGTCAAAAAAAAGTTTAGTGTGCTGGTAATTTGTTCTTTTTTCAATGACACCCTATCACACTTAAAGAGAGAGAATCATTGTTTGACATTCCAACAATATCGGCTGCAAACCCCTCTACAATCGTAATGAAGATCGCTGTTTGTCGAGGGCCAAGGTAAAAATCTCCAATCAACATGAACTGAAAATTTCATTTTTCCCAAAAGAACGAATCATGAAGAACAAATGAAATGTCCAATAAACTCCACACCGGTAAACGATCTCAACTCGCGACTACGAAGTATGTGCTGCGATTCTTTTTAAAAATCAGAGGGTATACCTCGTAAGATGTTCTACACCTAACTTTAAGAGCTTTTAATGTTCATCCGTCTTACATTTTAAAATACTTTATTCAGGAAACAGATAATAAGAACTGGCGCACTTTTCAGGTTACGTGCGTGATCTTGATGTGACCTCAAATTCTCAATTCTCGATTCTAAATTTAACTTACAAGGAAAAGATCAGCGAGAGGCGAGAATCTTAAGTCAAATCGTGGAAGTTAAAAGGTCAAGTCAAAATCATCTTCAAGTCAGCCTTACTTTTCAGTGAAGAGAATTAAGTATGATGTAATTTGGAACGCGGTTGTGGGGACTAAATGGTAGAATCGTTAAATTGCCGTTGAACGCTCTCTACAAAAACAGTTAGAGTAAGTCTTATTAGTACCTAACGCCACCTACTTTTTAGTAAGCTCCTTCTCCCTCTCCTCTTCCTCAGTCGGTGGTTTAGATTCCTCAGCTTGCGGGATCAACGGAGGGTTCATGATGGCCGATGACTGGCGATGTTTCTGTACTTTGGCGATACTTAGTCGCTTCTTGTCGTCGGTAACATCACTGCTGTCGGAACGCTCGGAAATCACCGACGGGGCGCCCGTGCGCGTGTCGAAGGGCTGTGCTTGTGTAGACAGACCAGTGGTGCGATTAGGTGTTAGCTTATCACTGCTTTTCTCAGGTTTCTTTTCCTTTCCATCATGACCTTTCTTAGCTCCAGCACCTCCTGCTTGTTGAGCTCCTCGGCGTTTACCTTTTTGATTACCACTGAAAGAAAGATGCAGCAAAAACAAAATATTAGAATAATAGAGAGCTTTTCTACTGAGGGTCGTAAAACCACAATTACTAAACTGATCACAAATGCTTGTTTTGGCAAAAGCCACACTACACGTCAGGCAAAACATTTAACAATATTAGCATTAGTGTTAGCTTTATTTGACGCTTAAATCTCTCTACTTATTTACAAAGAAATACATAGCAACTAATAGGGAGAATTACTCATCAGATCTCAGGAGGTACCGGGCCAAGCTATCAGATTTGTCTTCCATGTTAAAGAAAACAGTTTAGGAATCACTAACCGCTCCTCCTCGAGTCTTTTTTCCTCCATCAAAGCTTGCAGTTCTCTTTCTTTCTTCTCCCTCTCCTGTCTTTCTAGCTCTCGTTTTCTTCTCTCTTTCTTTTGCTCCAAGTGTTTCCTATCAACCTCAGCTTTCTCTTCTTCCGTTAGAGCATCATATTCGTCTTCTGACATCTCCTCCAATCGCCGTTTCTCTTCTTCCTCCTTCTGTTTTTCAAGCTTGGCTGAAGAAAGCAAAATCAAATGGGAAATTTAAACCTCATTTACACTGGTGACTTTCCCCTAACGATCTTCTATTCCCCTTGTGTATGATACCTAAGCTATCCGTCGGATAAAATAGAGTTTCATCCTTACTATAAAAAGTTGAACAAACATAGTTTCCTCAAAAGTGCATGTATAGCAACCAGTAGATCC